GTAGGGAAATGGCGAAACCCGAAAGAGAGCCACCACTCTGAACTGATGAAACGAGCTGCCTTCCCCGGCTAGTCTAAGGACAGCGGCTTTCTCAGGCCACCTCTTCAACCATTGCTGCATTCATCGTAAAGGGAAGTTGAATTAAACTGTCAAGAACTGTATATAGCGAAAGTCTTGTCAATGATCTTTTAACCGAAAGGGTTAGTCGAGTCTTTTTACGTGGATGCGTTCTTGGAGGAGCAGCCCGATCAGATAGGGAAGAACCATTCCGACGGTGGTCCCAACCATGATTATGACAAAACCGATACCATAACCGAAAATGATGCCGGCCAACCACATGGAAGGTCCAGAAGGTATCAAGAACACAGGGAACAATGCAAGGGAAGCAACAAGGACAAGGGCTAGCATAGGACGACCGAATGCCGTTGCTTCCCATTTCAAGATTGGAATAAGGACCTGCATTGATATATATACACAAACAATAAGCGAAATTCTCGAGCTAGCAAAGTAAGAACTTTGCAACACAGGCCATTTGTATGGGAATTCCATAAAGAGTTACCTTCTTGAAAAGAAAGGGGATCCCCCATTTGACGAAAACGAGGCTAAGAACAAGAATAAATGCGCAAATTCCCGCTCTTCTGATCCACCGCATCAGTTTTTTACTCCGAACCTCTGCTTGAGTTTCCGATGAACATGAACCAGTTTCGGATGCAACGGGATCATGGGAAATAACCAGCCGAGCATATTCATCGCCTTCCCTTAAATGGATTACAGAATCCACAGTGTCGTCTCTCGACTCTTTTGATGGGTTCGACATCCGCTTTCTTCAGTACCCAAACAAAACAAAATCGAACAAGAACTCAGATGTCAGGGGAACAGCACAGAAATCTGCAGGGCATCAAAACCAGAACAAACTCCTGTGTTTCATCTCATAACTATACTATCAGTGTCTGGAACACATGGACGCAGCAGATAGAAGAGAAAAGATGGGATCAAAGCGAGAAATAACGATTCTTAGAAGACATCGAAAAGGGTAGAAATCTGCGATTTTGCCAAAAGGAAAAGCGAGTTCATCGAGAAACGACGATGCTTAGCTCGTAATAAAACAGATTCTTCACCACTTGAAAGGATCAGCGGATATTACTGTAGACAAAAAGATGGCGGCGTAATCCGATGGAGAATTTCGACGAAGAACTCTCCGGCACCAGACTCCACAACATAAGAACGAACAAATCAATCCACAAAATCGAGCCATCGCTAGAACCCAGAACAATCGAAGCACTGAGATCTTGCCCGAAATCAACACACCCAAAAAGAAAAACGAATGCAAAACAAAGCTAAGGATTTAACTGATTCCTCCATACGAGAGCGACACCAATAACAATAGTAAAGTTAGAGAGAGAGAGAGAGAGGAATGACCAGACGAGTCTCGTCGAAGGTTAATATGCTTTGCGGCGGAGATCACGCCAGAGGAGACGGAGACACGGCGGCGGAACCTCGTACTCCGTCGGGAGTGGGGACGGCAGTTGCGGTGGTTGTACGGACCTTCAGCCTCCTCGGTAAGGTTTTTTGGCCTGAGAACGACGATTACGGGTTTACTTTTTCTTTTTCGTTCGCTTAACCTTTACGTGGACGATTAAGCAACTGATTGCTTATAAAAATAAGCTGAAATTATGACAATGCAGTAATTAAAAGCAATAAAAAAAACCAGCGATTAAACATTACTTTCCAAATATAATAAAGTTCAATTTAGTTTAGTGTAAATCGAATTTCTGAAATTATTTGTTAATTAATCTCAATAACCTGATTTCATTGGCAGTCCGCAGTATATAGTTTCGTATCGTGAAAATTTTCGTCCACGTGAGTGGCTGTTTTACATATATGGGCCTGGGCCCACCATGAAGCTGACGGCGGACAAAAAAACAAACGAACACATTAAATATATATGATCTGCTCGGTGTCTTGTCATATTGTGGCTCTTTCAAAAACTATGGTCCAAAACAGTTAAGATGTTATGTATGTTTCACGGTTGCATCTGAAACATGATATACTAAACTGTTTGTATGATTGCGCTCGTTTATTTTAATTCGTAAAACACTAACATGGGTTCACTTTTTGTTGCATGTTTTAAACAGAAATTGGATTAAGGTTGATAGGACTTGGCATATTTTTCTCGTTTTTGGGAATCATCTTTCTCTTTGATAAGGGTTTACTTGTCATGTGAAATGTAAGTCTCCGGTGTTTTCTTCATTACTTTTTTTTATATGCTGCTATCTTTCTGCATATTATTCGTAGTCTGAATGAGAATTTATCATTTTCTAGTTTTCTCCATATACTTTTTATCTAAAGGGTTAATCTGACCATCGATCTGAAATTTATTTTGCAGTTTTTCGTGAAACGTCAAAATTAAAGGTTTGAGCGCCCAATCCAGGGAGCGGATTGCAGCTCTTCGGCAAACAAGTCTTGCGCTGGCCGGAGAGAGTCTACAGCTCTGGTTCAACATTGCTCCACCCTCTTTCACGATTGCTCCTAAAAGCACCCCATTTTGTGTATAAACTCTCCTCTTAAGGAAACACTATGTAATCTTTTGTTATCAATAAAAATCCTTAACAAAAAAAAAAAACAAATGTGTTCGAAATTGTCAAAGTTAGAAGTGAGAGTTCTGATGTGGCTTATGTTAACATTTTGTGGGGGAGATAACGCCAAAGGAAGCCGTAGACCCCTATGTGAAGTCTAGTGGGCTGTTTTCATATGTGGGGCCATATGGGCCTACCATTATATACAACTTCAGAAGCGCGTTAGTTTTCATTTCTTACTCGGACTGTTTCCGGGAGAGTCTTGGCTGGAGAGCTAAGCGGTTGTGTCTGTTTTCGCAAATTCTTCAACAGGTCGAAAACAAATTCGGATTTAAAGTTATAACATGATCCCTTGTTTAAAATAAAGATTTGAAGACACAACCATTCTAAATGCCTAGAAACAAACTATGAGAAATTATTGTTTTTTTATATAACAAATACAAAATTTAATAGAATAAAAAAATAGATGGTTAAAATTACGACGAAAAAAAAAATTAGGATTTTTAATAGGGTTTTTCAATTTTAAATATAAGTTTTTTTGGTGCAAGTGAGATAATTAATAATTTTTTTGTTTGTCCTTAAAAAAATGAATGCGGATTTGAGCTCCAGAATGCATATATTAATTTGTATATTTTGTAGATTCTTATATTAAAAAAATTAGTATATCCAATTATTATTAGAAAACTTAGTTCAAAAAATATATATTTGTATTATGAGAAAATTAATAGACTAATGGTTTGATTTTATAATTGATAGGTTAAATAGTTTTTTTGAATAAGTTTAAATTCATATCAATGTGTTAAATACTGTACGAAAATTGTACAAACTTATTTATTCAATATATACTATTCTTTATACAAATTTGAGTGTTTAATTCGTAGTTTAGGTTTTGTGTAAAATGTATCAATGAATATAGGTGTTTAGTTCTAAAATACATATCTTACTTTATATATTTTGTAAATTCTCATTTTAAAAAAATCAATATATCTCAAATATTATTATAAAACTTAGTTAAAAAATATATTCGTATGATAGATTACTGATTTAATTTTATAATTGATAAGTTAAATATGTGTAATAATCCAATTCATATAAACTCAGTTCACAAACCCGTAGTTGATTATACAAAACCCAATGTATGGAGAGCATTGTCCTTCTGATTGTCACCGGGCGCTAGTGAGGTAGAAGCAAGCCCATGTTGAAGAACTGAACATCTCGCAGAGTCAATCAAAATCGAAAGAAATTTGTATTTCTGTCAAAGGGCTATATCGTATTAGGATATACCGATTTTATGCAACGCAGTCGAATGATCCAACCGGGAATGAGTATCATCCGAACAAGAATGGTCAAGCCTGGCCGAAACTCCCTGAAATAAATGTTAACCGACTGATGTGTACCAAGCAAAATAGAATTTAAACAAACGTACGGATCTACATGCGTGGGGGGAATCTCTTGTCAAGAGTCATGTTGTGGAATGTTGTTGTAAAATGCAAAGAGAAAGATAGACTTCTACAAGAAAATGAGAGAAGAATTGAAGAGAGTGGATGTGGAGGACAAAAAGCTAGAACGGATAAAAGAAGAGATAAGAAAATAAAGCAGAAGATGAAGAGGAAGGAGGAGGAAGAAGAAGAAGAAGAAACAGGCAGACAAGACAAAACAAGGAAGAAGATCTACTTTCGTGCTGATGTGGACAACGATGAAATCAACATATCTGTAGCTGAACATGGAGAATTGACCTTCAAATTGTTAAGAGCCATGAGCTCATAATAAATAAACACCACTCATCGTAGATAAAACGGAGTGCCAAAGGAGGAGAAAGATCTAATTGTGCACTGACCATCTCGGTTTCGGTTCCTATCCCTATGCCCGCCAGCGACACTGGCTCAAAATGCAGTGTTCTTTTTTTGGGGTTTTACCTCATGGTCCTTGGCACAGGGAGTATCAAGCCAGTCTGATGACACCGACTCGTGTGAGAAAGGCTTCTCTTTTCAACTGGTTTTGCTTCACCACTGTTGCGCTTGTTTCGTCCAGTCTTTCAGTGTGGGTTCAGGGATCAAGCCTATGAGGGTGATGACCCGGTTTATTAGTAACAAGATGGGGATGAGAAATGTGAAAATGCAGGAGGAGAAGATGGTGGCAATGAATTTGCAAAGAAGATAGATGTCATGTTCTGATATATAACCAAAAAAAGAGAGCTTTAGTGTGGTGAAGCTCGTTCCTTGAAGGAGAGATTGGTTGTGGTGTTGTGATGTTAAAACATTGTTATCTTTTTCACCGTGACGTCGATAGGAACATCAATGAGTTTTGGACCTTGGAGGCATTGTTGTGTAGTGTGTCTTGTCTTGGAGTTATGGCAGAAGATGTTTTTACAATCAGAAAGAACAAATAACGCAACTTGTATTTTCTTTTTATTTGTAACAGTAGAAGAAAAAAAAATAAAAGGTTAGTAACCTTGATTTACGCAAACGCTTCTATTGGGTAATTAATTTTCTTAATTTTTTCATAGTGGATCCCTTTCGTTATAAATTGCATCAACATGTATTAGGAAAATGCCTTCCATAGTATACTATACTTAAGTGGGCTAATGTCTCTGATTCACCATGGATTATAAGATCCAAACTTATGACCCAACAATTTTCTCTGTACAGGAGAAAAAAAGGGAGAGAGAAACGGAAACAAAACCGAGTTCATAAACTCGTAACTGACTATACAAAATACAATGCTTTAGAGAGTCCTTCCGATTGTCACCGGACGAACGCTAGTGTGGTAGAAGTAAGCTCCTATCGGACAGTTTCGTTTCATCTCTACATATATATCCAATTATTTTTGGAAAACTTAGTTCAAAAAATATATATTTGTATTATGAGAAAATTAATAAACTAATGGTTTGATTTTATAATTGATAGGTTAAATAGTTTTTTGAATAAGTTTAGATTCATATCAATGTGTTAGATACTGTACGAAAATTGTACAAACTTATTTATTCAATATATACTATTCACTAGAATCTAGTTATACAAATTTGAGTGTTTAATTCATAATTTAGGTTTTGTGTAAAATGCATCAATGAATATAGGTGTTTAGTTCTAAAATACATACCTTACTTTATATATTTTGTAAATTCTTAATTAAAAAAATCAATATATCTCAAATTTTATTATAAAACTTAGTTAAAAAATATATTCTTATGAGAAAATTAATAGATTACTGGTTTGATTTTATAAATGATAAGTTAAATATGTGTAATAATCCAATTCATATAAACTCAGGTCACAAACCCGTAGCTGACTATACAAAACCCAACGTATTTGTAGCAATACAATGCTTTGGAGAGCATTGTCCTTCTGATTGTCACCGGGCGCTATTGAGGTAGAAGCAAGCCCATGTTGAAGAACTGCGCATCTCGAAAAGTCAATCAAAATCGAAAAGAATTTGTATTTCTGTCAAATGACTACATCGTGTTAGGATATACGGATCTTATGTAACGCAGTGGAACGATCCAACTGGGAATGGGTATCATCCGAATAAGAATGGTCAAGCTTGGCCGAAACTCCCTGAAATAAATGTTAACCGACTGATCGTGTACCAAGCAAAATAGAATTTAAACAAAGTACAGATCATCACAGTAAGTAGAAACCAGAAATCAAGAATATGTAATCATAAATTGACAAGTCAGCTACGGCCGCAAACGTACCAGCACTTATTGAAACAACTCCCTATACACAAACATATCCAATTTGCATAACTAGAATATTCGTATTATGAGAAAATTAATAGACTATCGGTTTGATTTTATAATTGATAGGTTAAATACGTCCAATAATCCAATTCATATAAACCCAATTCATAAACTCGTAGTTGAGTATACAAAACCCAATGTATTTGTAGCAATAAAATAACTTGGAGAGCATTGTGTTGAAATGATGAAACAAATATACAAATAAGAAGGTTGAAGTTGATTGAAAATGATTATGAGGATAATTGAGAGAAATTAAAGACACAAAATTAATTAATAAATAAGGAAAAATCCCAAAAAAATTACTGAACTTGGAGATAGCTAACAGATAAATACTGAACTTTTTTTAATTCCAAATAAAACACGAACTTGTAGATCTTAACATATTTAATATTGATCTTTTGAATTTTTGCCAAATATCCGATCGATCGTAAATGGCGTTAAAGTCAATAACGGAATGTATGACGTGGAGCTCGATTATTGCCACGTATGATAACACGTAAGCATACGTCAGAATGAAAAATTGTAAAAGAAATCGACGGGTTAACATAAACCGGATCGGACCGGTTTAATAAAATAATGGTTCAGATGAGAATTTAATGTTAGGGTCTTTTTTCAAAAATCTTGGCATGAGACAACTAGACATTTTCTTCTTCAATTGTTTCGTGTGTTAAATCAAATCAGGATCAGTTCGAGTTCTTTTGGGCAACTTCCGATCCACTGTTTCGGCATTCTGTGATATCTGTTTTAGGGTTTGATTCTGTGTAACATTACACGTGTTCGTAGCGATAGCACGGGTTCTTATATGCATTGATTTCGAGAATTTTCTACTTTGGTATGATCATTGGTATTAGTATAGTTTTTTTTATGCGATTTTTCTTGGATAGTCTCAGACCCGTTGGAATATTATTTGATAACCACAGCCGAGGAGATTGTGTTTGTGATTGTTAAATAATAGTCATAGACAATCTTATTCTCAAGGGAATATGAAGATTGGTGTGGAATTTCACAGTGACTTGACGAAGTTTTCCATAATCAGTATAGTTTCTGATTGTGAAGAGAATTTTCTGAAGTTTTGGTATTGGCATTTGCTGCAGGGTTCTCGGGCAGCCATGGCGTTTTCAAGGGTCAAGTGTGTTCTGCGAGGGCTTGATATCAAAACATACATCTTTTTGTTCACCATTGTGCCAATGTCCATATTCGGAATCTGCTTTCATGGTCAGAAGATCACATATTTCTTGAGACCCTTGTGGGAAAAACCTCCGAAGCCATTTCAGATGCTTCCTCGAAACGCTCTGTAGGCTTCACGGTTGGCAATTCCGTGAATCGCCAAGAAGGGTCTTCGATGCGGTCTTATTCAGCAATGAGGTTGATATCCTCACGATCCGGTGGAATGGGTTATACCCTTATATAACCCAGTTTGTGATTCTTGAATCGAACTCAACTTTCACCGGTCTGCCAAAACCATTGGTCTTCTCAGGCAACCGGGAGAAGTTCAAATTCGTGGAACCAAGACTGACTTACGGGAGTATCGGGGGAAGGTTCAAAAAGGGTGATAACCCATTTGTAGAGGAAGCCTATCTGAGAAACTACTTGTACTCATTCGAGTATTACGTTGACAACAAGAGTTGGAGAGCTTCGGCTGAGAAACTACTGCTGGTTATCTTCAGCTGAGAAACTACTTGTATTCATTCGAGTATTACGTTGACAACAAGAGTTGGAGAGCTTCGGTTCATCTCTACAGAGCCGGAAAGACCCGTTATGCCCATTTTCGTCAAAGCAACACCCTTTTATCGGACTCAGGTTGGCACTGCAGTTTCTGCTTCAAGCGCATCAGTGGGTTCATATTCAAGATGAAAGCTTACAGCCACAATGACAGGGTTAGGTTCTTACCTACTTGGACCCGGAACGTATCCAAGATGTTATTTGCAGAGGGACCGATATGTTTGATATGATTCCTGAGGAGTACACGTTCAAGGGGATCATCGGGAAGATGGGTCCAATCCCACGGACTTATTCGGCTGTTAATCTTCCGGCATATCTGATCGACAAAGCTGACAAGTACAAGGACTTATTGCCGGGTAACTGCAGGTGGGAAGGTGGCTGATAAGCTTCATCACTGCTTATCAGAACTGTTAGTTTGGTTAAAGATCAGTTGGAGACAGCAGTAGGAATGGAGAACTTGAAGCTAAGGATGTTGATATTCCCATCAAATTTGAAAATGTAGTTTGATGGTAAATCATACTTTGATCATTCATCCCATAACTGGAAAAGGAGAAAGCGCGTGGACCATTTCACAACAAAAATCAAACAAATCTTCGTTCTCTATTATTTGGTATTATGCGGAATCAGCTCGTCTCCATGGTTTTAGGAGTAACTAAAGGAAGGGTTTGACTCTCTGGTGGTTGGCTCAATGTTCCTTCCCGTTCCGTTTTTATACCTTTTGGGCAGTTCCTCGTAGTGCTGTCTTTCCTGCAATCCCCAAACAAGAGAAAAAAAAGGGAGAAGAAATCTTCAGATCCATTGAATTTTGGGATATATATATATATAAAGATGAAGCAGAGTTAATGGGATATAGACTCAATGACCCGCTCAGAGACAGAAGGTGAGATTTTGGAAAGGGCTTTCTCAAAATGGACCATCTTGATTGTACAAGGAGTTGATTCCAAAACACTTTCACTCTCGTCCAGAGCCCTCATTGCCGCTTCATTCACCTGTCCAACACGAGTTACCAATACTAAAGTAGCACGAAAAAGCCTTTTCCCCAGCAGCCAAAGGCTGCAAAACATAAAGAAAAACGATCTGCAAGGGGGGTATGAAGAATAAAAATACCAAGGCAGCGAGATCAGCTCCACTTAAATACTCACAGCCCTCCATGTTTGCTACGGCATGCAAATCCACACTCTCATCTACAGGCTTGTTCTTTGTCACGGCTTTAAGGATTGAAACTCGCTCCTCCGAGCTGGGCAGGGGTACGTACAGCAGTCTGCCAAACCTACCCGGCCTTATCACCGCAGGGTCCATCACATCCGGCCTGTTCCAACACATAATCCTTACACACTTAACAAACATCGTGACTTACAAAATAATAATCTGCGGGTTCAGTAACCACACCTGTTCGTAGCGCCAATCACAAACACATTATGGCGTTTTTGTTCCGCGCCATCCAACTCGATAAGTAACTGTAAGAGAATGAAAGCACATAAATTAAAGCTTATCTATCGTCAACGACATCGATCACAAAGTTCAAATATGTTATTTACCTGGTTCAAAAGCCGTTCCACAACCCAACCACCTTCCTTTCCACGTTTTGTGGTCAAAGCATCAACCTGCATTTTAAGCGTTTTTGGTGAGAAATTGGGAGAATAGAAGTAATATGCATACATCTGCTTTAGATATTGCAAAACTGTAACAAATACCTCATCAAAGAAGAGTACACATGGCGAGCAATTCCTGGCACGGCGAAACAACTCCCGAACTGCCAGCTCACTTTCTCCGACATATTTATTCAGAAGTTCTGGGCCCTATCCATCAAAAAGAATAAGATGTGAATGTAAAATGAAACCTTAATATGCAAAGCAAAAGCCATAGAAAGATTCAGGGAAAAAAAACAACAAAAAAACAAATTTGATGTAAAATGAAACCTTGATGTGAATAAAATTGGCTCCTGCCTCGTTGGCAACCGCCTTTGCAATCAATGTTTTGCCACAGCCTGGTGGTCCATAAAGCAAAAATCCAGTCTCTAGATCTACTCCAAACCTCTGAAAAAATGTGAAGAAATCCATTCAGACCAAAGTACAATAACTAGACAAAGTTCATCAGCTCTAGATAACTAATCACAGAACAGCCAGAATCACATGCCAATAAAAAAATGCAATAAGGATGGGGCCAGAAAAAAATAGTGTCAAGGAAAAGCCAGTATTTTATAAATTACTTCATAGGCCTCAGGTGATTTGATACGCTTGATTATATAACGTTCAAATTCCTGTCTTAGATGGTCAAGTCCGCCAACATCTTCCCACTTCACATTAGGAATTGTGGAGAATCCTTCTCTTGTCGAAGATGCTTGTACAACAACCACAGCTTCCTGGTAGAAATCAAAGTTTGATATAAGCCAAACACAGCAAACAATATGAACTGAAAATAATAGCATAGTTTTTGTTGTAAAATATATTAGCTGCATGTAAATAGACTTACAAACCAAACAGCAACAATTGTAACATGAATAGCAACAAGATGGGACACAAACATGTGGAGAAGTATGGCCTACGCGTATCGCACCTCAAAGTCAGACATAATGATGAAGAGTTTTTCTCTATCTTCCGGTGACCATGGCTGCCTCAGCCAAGAATTTCTGTCTTCAGAGTCATTAGGCAGTTCCAACTTCCTTGCATTAGCGATTCTCTTCATGGCTATCATGCCTGCCTGGTTTACCAGAGCAGCCAAATCAGCTCCAACAAATCCCGGAGTCGCACGAGCTATTCTCTTTCTGTCAAAAGAACCCTCTAGTCTAAGACCATGTGTTAGCACAGACAAAATCTCTTCCCTTGCTTTTTCATCAGGAGCACTCAGAGGGATCTCGCGGTCAAATCGTCCAGGCCTCCTCAAAGCAGAATCAAGGGCATCAGGCCTATTGGTAGCTCCGATGACAAGAACATGACGAGGCCTAGAATCAGATCCGACTTCGTTAGAATTTTTAACATTTGCCTTTAAATACCTAAGAGAATCGTCCATGCAAGTCATCAGCTGCGTCACTATCCGTCTCTCCATCTCCCTCTGCTGGTTTTCTCTCTTCGACGCAATAGCATCTATTTCGTCGATGAATACGACAGATGGTGCAGTCCTATATGCTTTGGAGAAGAGTTCCCTAATATTTTCTTCAGATGCACCTGAATTTTTTTTTTGCAGAACCGGAATTACACTATTAAACAAGAAAAAAACACCAGACAGCTACCACGATGACAAAATGCAAATGTCAACTATAGCCTAAATCCTATAACTTATAACACAGAAGACATGAAGGCTAAACAATAATTTCCAACAGACTTAAGAGTTAGGATGCAGCGGCCAAAGCCACAACCAGAAAGAGAGTAGCTATGTCACATCATACCGGAAACACCAGAGACAACCTCTGTAGCTGAAATCCTGTAGAAGGGAAAACCGAGTTCATTGGCAATGGCGTGAGCCAATTTGGTCTTGCCGCAGCCAGGTGGTCCGTGAAGTAGGATCCCACCTGGTGGCTTCACTCCGAGGGCCTCCACTAAATCAAGATGGAGCATTGGATATAACACATTCATCTCCAGATCACCCAACACATTCTCGATGCCACCAAAGTCTTTGAACATCGGCCCTTCGTTAATCTTCACCTCCAAATCACCATTGCCAGTGGCTCCACTCACAGAGACAGAGCTCTTAACCTCTTTCTTCTCTCCTACTCCTTCTCTGTTCGGAATTCCCATCTTGGTTCTAGCTTTGTTGCTCACTGTCTCCACTTCAACGTTCTTCTCAACAGGCGAAGAAGAAGACGCAATTGGATTTTTCGAAGCGCTGTTCAACTTAGCATAGGAATCTCGTAGAGTGTCGCTGATCAAATCGAACTGCGGAGTCACCTTCTCGCTGTATATAGCATCCTCCGACGTGGAGACAGCACCGTCCGCCTCCGACCTCGACGAAGACTCCGCGGACGGCGAGTCCGACGAAGACGTCGACATCAAACGATCCGAGTTCCGCCGTCTAAGATGCGACTGCTCCGCCCGCTGCAACTTCTCCTCTCTCTCATTGACTCGCCTCTGTTTCTTTCTCGCGCCAACACCTCCCTCGTCGCCGCTGTTATCTTCTTCTTCGTCCTCTTTAATTCGTCTGTTCCTCGAATTTAGGACCTGTCGGACATTAAGCAGGAGGACCTGTCGGCTCAATCGGCCAAAATCTCGGTACTTGGAGCGGAGGTCGTCGACGATGTCCTCTGCGGATGCCTCCTTCCCGTAAGAATCTATGACGACGTTGAGGAATCTACGATTAACGCCGCCGCCGATACCGCCGCCGCGAAATCTTTTCCCCATCTCCCACTCTCGACGACCGTCTCCGTAAGGGAAAGTCTGGGTCTTTATCAAACCCTAATTTTTTTTATAAAAAAAAACCCACTGATTTAAACTCTAATAAAAAAAAACCCCGTCCACCACTTCTGAGTTCTGAGCAAGTGGGTCGGGGCGGGTCGGATCCTGGGTTAGAGAGAGAGAGAGAGAGAGAGAGAGGAATCACCAGGCAAGTCTCGTCGACGGTTAATATGCTTTGCGGCGGAGATCACGCCAGAGGAGACGGAGACACGGCGGCGGAACCTCGTACCCCGTCGGGAGTGGGGATCAGTTGCGGTGGTTGTAAGGTTTTTTGGCCTGAGAACGACGATTACGGGTTTACTTTTTCTTTTTCGTATCGTGAAAATTTTCGTCCACGTGAGTGGCTGTTTTACATATATGGGCCTGGGCCCACCATCAAGCTGACGGCGGACAAAAAAACAAACGAACACGTTAAATATATATCGTGTATGGAAATTAATAATTATAGACAAACGGGAGAGGTAATTTTCATTTCTTCGATTCAGATTTCGGCAGTTCTCCATCGCCGATGGATCGGAGAATCTAATTCACAGGTACTTTCTCTGATCAATTTTGTTTTATTTCTTCTGTCTGTTTCTGGTTTCCGGTGTCTTGCATTCGCTTCTCGTCGGCCTTCAGATCCAGTGTCTCTTAGTTTTGGGTTTTTGTAGATTTTAAAAAATTGGATTAGAATATTTCATATTTTAGATTTTAAATATAAAATTATCAAAAAAAAATAAGAATGTGTAAAATAATTTTTTTAAATTACGGATATTTTTGTTGTTTAAATATTTTATATAATTAATATTAAATAGAGATTTATTAACAAATAATTTTTTTGTTATAATCTACTCAAAAGTGGTTTTAAATTTTTGCTTGATTTTTTAAGAAAATAACTTACAAAAATTGTAAAAGCTCCAAACAGTCAAAGTCTATGTAAAAGACAACTATAAAATTATGTAAAAGAAGTCGCAACATGCTTTTGTAACTCAATAAATGTCTGCTTCGGTTTCTCTCTTTCTCTCTCTCTTTTTTTTTTTTTTTTTTACTTTTTACTTTTTCAACTTTTAACTGTGAAGGGAGCAACATCACCTGGTTTAGTATCTACACGGCTTGGTTCCTCTCCTCAGCAACAACCGCAAACGCAGACCAAATTTCGAGCTTTTCTTTTCAGTTGTTCCTTCTGTTTCCTCCATATTGGATATGGAGAGAGCATATTCATTTCAAAAGAACCGCCTTTACGCTCAGCGGATCTGATGATACTGAGTGATTCCTCTTTTCGGCGGTAGCTTTCTCAGTATAAATAGCACCAGAGAGGACGGTAATATCTCAACCAACTGAAACCCACATGATATCACAAGCTGTGCTATTATCATAACAACCAAAATGATGATTCATATGATGAGACATCATCATACATGTATGAGCAAGAGACGACGGAGAGAAAGATCTCACCAGGTAATATACGAAGTTAAGGATAGGGTGATCCAATACATCTAGGTCTGCCGCACTATCGAAAGCATCAACGCACATCTGAAGGTTACAGATTATCAAAAGTTTTGGTTAGCTATAAGCCTCAAAGCCAATGTCTCTGGGAAAAAGTTCAACACAGTGTGGATTGAAAGATTATGATGTTTGTTACCATGATGCATCGGATGAGGAAACACGTGAAACATATGGTTGTCACATAACCAACCTGCCAAACGCAGACAGAAAAGGCAGTGAGACTCTGAAACAGGAAACCTTATCAGCTAAAAGTAGTTTACAATAGAAGTTTCACCTCCTGCAACTTTTTGCGCCTCCCTTTGGATTCTACAGGAAACCGCTGTAGCATTAGGAAAAGCCTGCGAAAGGGATAACCCATACATATCAAGCCCCTTTGCATGTCACACACATCTTCAAAACAGTCGTGATATGCCTATCGAAGCCAGACATTAAAAAGTACAATAATGCAGGCAGGTTAATGGATATGCAGTGTACTATCAAAGTATGGCAAGTGTATATGACTCAGGTCTAATTCCTCGATAGTAAACCGTCATGCAAGAGGCCCCAGGAAATTGTGGAAAGATGATTCCTAGCTATGTCAACAAAAATGCAACTAGGCAGGTGTTTGGCTGGTAATTATCAGTGAAGAACATATGTGCAGGTTGTCAAAAGCCCATAATTCTTTCATAACCATCAGGCTTCAGGACAGTATGAAATTGGGATCGTGGTGATATCAACAAGACATTCATTGTGGCACCGTAGCAGGAGCACAGGTTCAGCAGGTGACCAAAAACAAAAGAAAAGAGAAGAAAAAGAAGTTACAGTACTGTCAAGGGATAACACATATACAAGTAGCAGCAGAGTTACCTTCCTCCATACAGTAAAAAACCAAGAGCAGCAAACAATGAAACACCTGCATTTATATTCAGGAAGAAAGCGATGAGACAGAAGCTATAGTATATCAATAAGATAAAAGTAGTTTTGTTCATGGACGAAATATAAACAAACAAATACCTGCAAAGAAAACCTTAGACAGGACCACCATAACATGAACAGGCTTCCACCACATTATCAACCAAAGAGCAATCTGGAATTAAAATACACCCATGAGAAACATTTAAAGAGTGGACAGACATATCAACCAAACATTATAAGTGGAGAGGCAATCTATCAACAAGCTCAAGGCTCAAACAAAGCCTGATGTTTGAACTTTTCACGTTTCACAGAGATTGTAAGCGCAAAAAGGAAAGCGCATTTCACCTGAACAACATATACAACTGCATTAATTGTGAAGAAACTTGGCCTCAGTCCATCAGTGGATACAGCACGTGCCTGCTCCATCAAAAAGGACTGAGCAACAATCAGTATGAATGAAATGCAAACTGAAAAAAAAGGTATAAAATATCAGCTGTTACCTGATAGTAAATCTCTGCCCAGAAGAGGACCAGAAGGGCATAGGTCGTGAAGAAGGCAAGACTTGGTATATCGAGCAAAATATGTTGCAGAATCTACAAGATAACCAGCAAGAGTTGCAAATTTAGAAAGTTCATACAAGCCATCAAATAGTTTAGTCATAATTTAGATGAATATCCCAAACCTCTGGATGCAAATACTGTACGTCCCGCCTGAAGACAAAAACCACAGCTCGAACTGCATGATAGAAGACTCCCAATCAACAACAGATGGCATAAACAAATAGAAAACGTGACAAAGCGAGATCGAGTTTATATTTTGGGGCACCGACCTCCATTCACCAAGAAATTGAGAAAGTGGAAGACCTTCTGCGTCGTCCAACCGTATTCTGGAACTCTCAATTGTATTCTCACCAGTTGAATCTACCAAAAGAACAGGTACATCAATCTAATCATCTCCAATATCACAAACAAATCTTCAATGTCTCTATAATTACTCGCAGAAGCAACCAGATCGTGCAGCAACCAGATTATGTAGCATAACATATATTCCTCGATTCAATACCCTAGAGACCCTAAACGCGCCAAATTCTAAATTCACGTCACGCCCAAATTCGGTTCCGAATCTCTCTACCAAATGAAACCAAAATCCGGAACCGTACCAGCGCAACGAAGGAGACGATTCCGTATAGAACAGCAAGGACGTGGAAGATACGATCCTGCCACACCGGCGACTCGTTAACGTCCGACCACCAACTCGAAGCGTCCTTCAGATTAAGCGCCATAACCGCCGCTGCCGACGACATCATCCCCGGCGGAGATGACGTCAACTCCACGCCGTCACTTCTCATCTCCGGCGATAACATTCAGATTCCTTCTCTCGTATATATTCAAAAAAAGAGAATCAATCAACTCTACCTCTGGGTTTTTTTTTTTTCCTCTTTGGGGTTTTTTTTAGGTATTGTCCCAAAATAAGAGCGAGAGAAAACGGTCGACGATCGGGAGGAGAGATGATGACGTGGCCGAAACCCGGGAGCGCATTTGGAGGAAACCGGCAATAGCCGGTAATATTAGTGGCGATAACCGACACGCAACACGATCATGCAGGTTCCGCCTGGCACAGGTGGATAAAGAGCAATGCCTAGGCTGGCTCGAGTAAATCTAAATATGTGCATGGGAAGTCTTGTTTGTCAATTTTTAATTTTATATATAGTAATGGAGTTAATTAAGTTAATGTATTATTAATTGGAGTACATTTATTATCGGATATATGCATGTTATTTGTTTGCGATATGTAGTAATGTATCACTTGTATTTGACTTTATTAGTTTATTATGTTTTTTTTCATGATAATGAGAAAAAAACAAGAAAAAGCCTCAAATGTTCTATTTCAAGAGGCCCAGGCCCAGGCCCAGACCCATGAAAGCCTCCGCAGAAATGACGGTCAGAATCAAAATTTATAACCGCCTGAGTTGGCAAAGTTTCGGTCAAATGGATCTACTTGCTTTGACCGTATCACAGTCTTGGCAAGGACAGAATCCTATGGAGGCCACGTCTCTATTTCCTAGCTATATTAATTTGTGTTTTAAAAAAAAAACACTTTAATTATTTTAAATAATGATTATATTCAAATAAATAGGTAAAGAAATACTGGTACTATATAGTCTATATTCATATAAAATGTTCAGGAATAGGTATTATTTATTTATTTTCTCTATGATTTAAGCATTTAAACTTTCCTAATTTTCGTTAGGAATATATATCAATACCTTTTTGAAACAATATTATATCCCCTTTCAAAAATCATACTCATGTCTTAATTCAAATCATGGAAATGAATTTATAAAAGAAGATAAACAGTAAAACAGAAAGCTTTACCACTTGTTAAGATTAAATTAAAGTTAATCACGGTCATTTTTTGGAATCTAATCATTATTACCTTATCCTTCAAGAGTTTTTCACATCATATGATTTAAAAATCTCTTGATTTATTTTGTATTTTACAATTGTTGTGTTTGGATTAAAATCAAATGTGGATTTAGGGATAAATTATGGGAAGGGTTTTGGAGTGTAGTACGAAATCTAAGCTCCCATGACTCTGCATGTCCCTATTCTCATGCCCAGAGAGATAAAAGAGAGAGCTTTAAAAACAGTGTATCACTCACTGTACTTTTCTTCACTGCTGCAACCTTCCAAAAGAATACTGTGTACATCATTTATATAAAGATTGGGGTTTGTTGTGTTCGTACTTCCAAATCATTGTGTATTTTACAAGTTTTCCAGACAATGAATGGTGAAATTTGAGGTGGTGAGAGATGTTTTCCTCGAGATTTGAGTAGAAGAGGAGAGAAGCAAAGGGAAACGAAAGTGAGGGGAGGGGAAGCGTTATTTCCTTTTTCCATGGATTACGAACGAATCGAGAAGACCCAGGTGGGATTTCCTCTCTCTCTCTCTCTTTCTGATTTTCCCAGCTCGGAAAATGGTTGCGTTTCTCGCTTACCAAACAGGGTTTCTCTGGTGATTTCTAGTCCTTTTGGGTTTTGTGGGGAAGAAGGGAAATGTAAAGCGATAATGGACAGTTTTCAGATTTCTTCCCGGCTAACGATGATCTTGTTGATTTCGTTTCACGTTTTCGATGTTTTTGGAAATTTTCTCGCTTTCGCCTCAGAATGTGTCGTTTTCTCGCCCTCCAAACAGGGGGCGCTTTTGGAAAAGTTGTATAGAAGCAGAACACGAACCGTCATTTTCAAACTCCATCTTCTCTGCTACCCACATCCGTTTTCGATCTGGAGAATCTCGCTTCAACAATTTTATCATCCCTTTATCTTCCTTGGATTTGTGGGTTTTAACCTGAGATTAACTCTCTTCTCTGTCATGAATATGCCATTGTCATAGTCTGGTGGCGGCGGATTCTCTCCGGGAAAACTCAGGAGCATGTTAATGGGAGCTGAGAGAAGGAAGAAACAAGAAGAGCTTGAATTTTCTCCCGCACTGAGATCTGGGCCAAATCAAATTGATGATCCTGGTAAGATTTCTCCCTTTTTTTGCTTTCTGGAATCTAGGGTTTGTGGTGGAGCCCGTAATGATCGAGTCAAGGTCTTTCCTTTTTTGTATCCGCCAATGGATTACCACTTTTACGAGCTGGAATCTCAGGTTTAAGAAACGGGTTTTTGTTTGTTTTGGCTGGTTTTCTCGGCAACCAAACATAAACATACTAAAGTAGCCTTCTTTCAGAAACGAGTCAACAAATCTGGTCAAGGGCTTTGCTCTCTTCTCAGTGCAATGGGGATTGTGTGTATGTGTGGTGTAATCATTGTTGATTGTGTTCCTTTGCAGCTGTTAATGGATCGGATGATTGCAAAGACGTAGATGTTGTGAGTGATCATAGACCGAGGGATCAATCTCTGCTCAACTCTCGAGCTGGACTTCAAGTTCAAGAGCATCTTCTGGATTATAACAATGGGGATGAAGCCATGTGCTTTTCGACATCCGTTTTCGAGTTCCAGAAGGCAGAAAAGGCTCCCCAGAGAATACCCATTGGACCATTCTCTAAGCCAACTCCTTCCAAATGGGACGATGCCCAGAAATGGATAGCGAGCCCCACGCCTAATCGATCCAAGGCGGGGCAGATTCAGGTTCCCGGGTCTAAGAAAGCGCCTACCTTTGGTTATGGAAGCCGCCAATTCTCTATGAAGATGGTCGAAGTTTCGGATCAGAAAATGGTTGATTTCGAAGAACCACATACAAAGAGAATAGATGTATCCGAGGCTAAAAAGGTCGACCCGTATAAAACAGCTGTTGAATCATATGTCAAGCCAGTTCTCATGGTTGAGAACACTGTTTCAGAAACAGCGAGTAAAGTCCTACTGTTTCTTGAGTTTGGTTGTAACCCGCTCTTGTCATATTCTTACCTCTATGCCTTTGGCCTGCTTGCAGTTAATCTTAGTCAGCATGACTCATCAATCTCCACTGCATTTATTCAACCCCCTCCAACAGCCAGATCAGTGTCGATGAGGGACATGGGAACAGAGATGACGCCCATTGCTAGCCAAGAACCTTCCAGAACCGGGACACCGGTTAGGGCAACAACTCCAATCCGAAGTCCGATCTCTTCCATGCCTTCAAGTCCCGGGAGACAAGCAACGGCATTCCCCATGAATCTTGACGGTTTAGGGATGGGGACAAACAAGGAGATGTCGGAGAAGGAGCTTCAGATCAAAACCAGGAGAGAGATTATGATGCTGGGTACACAGCTTGGTAAATTGAATATTGCTGCATGGGCTAGCAAAGAGGAGGAAGACAATGATGCTTCATCATCGCTGAAAACCCGAGCTTCCGAACAAGCTGTGAAAACTGCCTCTGAAGCTCGTGCAAATGCGTGGGAAGAGGCGGAAAAGGCTAAGTACTTGGCTAGGTACCTTTCCTTTTTTATCTGCTGTGGAAAGGCTACATAATGCTATATATTGATTCGCTTGTAGTTTCTGCATATCGGTTTGGAGGATTCATGGTCATATGCTGAAAAATCCCTGCACATAAAAAACACATGCACACTTGTATATTTTTCCAGGTTCAAACGTGAAGAAATGAAAATTCAAGCATGGGAGAATCATCAGAATGCGAAATCTGAAGCCGAAATGAGGAAAATAGAGGTAACGTTGTAAACTCGAAGGCGATATCAAGGCGTAGGATTTCTAAACACCATCAAAGCATATGCAGACTATGTATAGACTCATGTTCAGGGCAGTAGGCTTTGAACCATTTGATGAGGTGAATTCTTGAATTGCAGGTGGAAGTTGAGAGGATAAAGGGGAAAGCACAAGACAGGTTAATGAAGAAAATAGCGGCAGTCAGCCACAAAGCTGAGGAGAAAAGAGCGGCTGCTGAGGCCAAGAGAGACTGTGAAGCGGCCAAGACAGAGAAACAGGCCGACCAGATCAGAAAGACTGGCAAAGTGCCCTCTTCTTTCTCTTGCTTCTGGTTATGTTCTTGATACAGTCAAGAACCAAATGGAACTCATGGATAATGTATTATGCATATTTGTGTATTTGTGTGCGTGTGTGTATATATATGCAACTGTAACGATCAGCCGTTGGGAAAATGATGTCCTGTAATGAAATTTTGGGAATTTTAAGGAGAGTAAGGACAATATTGGTTTAATTTCTATCTAAATTGATATATTTGTGGACACGCGGTTAGATCCAGATGGAGTTCAAGATCTCTCAACGAAATTGAGTACAAATTTGGGTATAAAGTTGTATGCCACGTGTAGATAACCAGTACGCAAATAGGAATACACCAATACGACGAAAATGGGTATAAATTTGTATAAAAAATACGTATAGAAACTTTCAGCGACCACATTGTTTATATATATGCACATCCCAAATCATAGAAGGGAACCTCATCTATTTTCTCCTCGCGAACACAAGGGAAAAATAACGAACAAAAAGGGAACATTGCTCACAGCTGATACACTCGAAGCTCCCTCCTGGTTCCCTCTCTGTGGCGTCTCCTTCTTCTTCTCACGCTCGAGGCACTCGTATCGGTTTCCGATTCTGGGTTTCTCGCAAGTTTCTATCTTTTTCCAGTGTTTCGATCTGAAGTCGTAGGAACTACTAGGGTTTGTAGAGTGGAACGATGGATAGAATCATGTCCGCGCCTGCGACACAGCAACAGCAGCCTCAAAAGCAACCGGCGGCTGCCGCAACCGCTGAGGAAGAAGCCCTTAAGAGGAACACTGATTGCGTCTACTTTCTCGCGTCTCCTTTAACCTGCAAGAAGGTGTTTGTTTTTATCTATTTCTTGCAGATCTTTCGCGGTTTCTGCTTTAATTAGGTTTTCGGATTTGGGGATCTGAGCTTTCTTCCGGCCAATTTCGTGTCGTTTCGTCCTGTGTGTTTCGTTCGATTGGCTGATGCCTTAATAGGGTTTCTAATTTTTATGTAGTTTCGACTTCTGTTTGATATTTGCTTGATGGGTTTGTTTGCTTAATGCAGCTTAAGCTGCGGGGCCTGTTTGTTTCCGATTAGATCTGATGGATTCATGTTAATATTCAACAGCTTTGGCATTGGATTGATATCCAGTACCAAGCCTTATTAATAGGTTTTCGCTCAAAATTTTTCGTATAGGTTTGTATTCGGTGAAAGAGACATAGGCGAAGCTCATAGTTTGTTCTCTTTATGACCGTGTCTTACGCTTTCTAATATCTTAGTGGCTCCAATACGTGATTTTCTTCTGTTACATGTGTGAATAGCCAGTGATTGTTTTTCTTTAATTACGCAGGGAAGTGAGTGTGAGTACCGTCACAGTGAATATGCGCGTGTCAATCCACGAGATTGCTATTACTGGTTAAATGGCAATTGTTTGAATCACAAATGTGGCTTTCGACATCCTGTGAGTAATTATCTTCCTTCGCATAGGTTTCTGGTTAAGTTCGAGTAAATGTTTTTGTGCTTATATTGTGGTGTTTGTGTCTGTTTTTTTCACAGCCCTTGGATGGCTTGTTGGGGAACCAGGGAGGTACTCCTGCTGGTCCTTCACCTGCACAGGCTCCTCTCAGTGCTGGAAAACAAGCAGTTCCATGTGTTTTCTTTCAAAAGGGTATGTGCATAAAAGGAGATAGATGTGCCTTCGTGCATGTGCCCATCCCAGCTACTAATAAAATGCAGCAGCAGCCCATGGAACCTGCACCTTCTTCTGAACCTCAGTCTTCCAAAAAGCCATTTGAGAAGGTCACCGAGGAGAAGAAATTTCCTTCTGCTAATCTCTCAAAGGGGGCTGCACCGAAAGTTACAAATTCTGGCCGAGGAGACAGCAGAAGGGTAGAGAGATATGTACCACAACATAGGGGCTTTGAGACTGTTGGGCAGAAAAAAGCAGTGGGTGTTCCTTTGTTTACTGGTGGCAGCCACTCTACTCAATTGCTTCAGGCACATGGGTCTGATGATAAAATCAGCTTTCAAAATGATAATGAACCAAATGATGTTTTGAGGGAGGCTTCTCCTGGGGTTGATGTTGGAGAGGACTTTGACGTTCTTGTGGATAATGAGCTCAGAGACTCTGAGTGTTACCATGGTGAGGATCGATATGGTAGAAGAGGTCAGGATGGTAGGAACTCGGTGAATGAATACCATCCGGATTTCAATGATGTACCTGATGGTGATGCAGAAGCATATCGTGGTTTTGATCGCTACAATCATATGCAAGACAGGCAGTATGCTTGGGACCACCCCCGGGCTTCCGCTGAGAGAGAAGATCATTTGGAAAGAAGAGTTTATTCGACAGATGAGAAGTCAGACCACATCCCAGAATCTGATTTAAGACACCGATTGTCAAAGCATAGGAGAGGTAATGGCCCAATATCAGATGTTGGTTGTGAGGATGGCCCTGACTATTCGGAACGAGGTTTTGCAGATCCCCGTAAGGACCCGCTGCAAGAAAGCTTCATTAGCAGCCGTCTTCAAGGTAGAATTAAGCTTCCTGGGAGAGTCAACGGCGGTGATGGTCACTTTGAGAGGGGATCACGGTGGGGAAGGAACAGAAGCCAATTGTCACCGGGAAGGCAAGGTAGGTTCCGGGATAGAATTAGAGGGAATGTAGAAGAGAACCATTGCAATGATCAGGAAAGAGTCACTACTTGCCCTCCATGGATGAGAAGAAGAGAAATGGAAGATGAAAGAAACTATGATTTCCCAGCTCCTAAAAGGCTTGCAGAATTGAGGAGCAGGAAAGAGGAAAGTAAGGCGGAACGATCACATAGGAAAAGGAAAAGCTCGGAGGATCATCGTCGTCAGGAATCTCATGATTCATTTGTGGCTCCATTACCTCTGAGTGAAATTCTCAAGAGAAAAAGAGCAGCTGTGACTGAGAAAAACGGTATGATCCAAGAAACAAAACCGGAGTACCGAGATGCTATCACCATAACCAAGGAAGAAGGTGGGCACGAGTCTAAGCTTGCAGTGGAAGACAAACCCGAGAATTCTCAAGAGAAAAAGAGCAGCTGTCACTGAGAAAAACGGTATGATCCAAGAAACAAAACCGGAGTACCGAGATGCTATCACCATAACCAAGGAAGAAGGTGGGCACGAGTCTAAGCTTGCAGTGGAAGACAAACCCGAGCTTGGTCATGACCAGTCCTCTGAACCACAACAAACTCATGAAGCCGAGATGACAGATGAGGGAACTATGGCTGAGGATCAAGCCTATGAAGGCATGGCAGAGGACCAAACCTATGAGGGTGATGACCCGAATGGTGAGTATTATTACGAGCAAGGATATGAAGAAGATGGGGAATACAATTACGAAGAAGGTGAGAATGCAGAAGAGGATTATGCAGGAGGAGTGGATGTGGAAGGAGGGGAAGCAGGAGAAGAAGATGGTGGCAATGAGTTTGCGAAGAAGATAGATGTCATGTTGTGATATATAAACAATAAAGAAGAAGCTTTGGTGTGGTGAAGCTTGTTCCTTGGAGGAGAGATTGGTTATGATGTTGTGATGTAAAAAAAATTGTAACCTTTTTCACTGCAACGTTGACAGGAACTTCAACGAGTTTTTAGAGACATTGTTCTGTAGTGTGTCTTGTCTTGGAGTTAGAGTTATGGCAGAAAATGTTTAACGCAGCTTGTAGAAGAAAGAAATGAAACGTACCTTGATTTACTCGAAGCTTCTATTGGGTAATTATTTTTTCTTTATTGTTTGCGTACAAATTTTCATCCCTTTCGTTATAAATTGCATTCACATATACAAAGAAAATGTCTTCCATAGAATTGTGTTAAATGTGTTTTTTATTTATGGGTTAATTGGGCTCATTTCTCTGGGCTTATAAAGATCCAAGCTTGCATCGGCCCATGGACCAACAGGTTTCTCAGGAAGAAGAAACGAGAATAAAAGGAAATGCATGTTTCAGTGAGGACAATGTTAGTTTAATTTCTTTCTGAATTGATATATTTGTGGACGAGAAGTGGATATCATAGTTCCCAAACACGCGGTTAGATCCAGAGGGTTTGAGATCTGGATGAAATTGAGAATAAATTTGGGCATGAAGTCGTATGCCACGTGTGGATAATCAGTACACACATTAGGAATACAGCAATATACGCCGAAATTGGTACAAGTTTGTATAAAAATACGTATAGCAACATTACAGCGACCTCATCGTCTATATGTGTACACATCCCAAATCCTAGAAGAGAACCTCTCATCTATTTTCTCCTACGCGAACGAAAGAGGGAAATAAGGAACAAAAAGGGCTCACACACTAGAAGCTCCCTCCCTCGTGTTCCCTCTCTGTGGCGGCTCCTCCTCCTCACACTCGAGGCTCTCGTGCCGGTTTTCCGATTCTGGGTTTCTCGCGAGTTTCGATCTTTTGTCTAGTGTTTCGATCTGAAATCGTAGGATCTACTAGGGTTTGCAGAGTGGAACGATGGATAGAACCATGTTCGCGCCTGCGACGCAGCAACAGCAGCCTCAAAAGCAACCGGCGGGGGCAGCAACTGCTGAGGAAGAAGCCCTTAAGAGGAACACCGATTGCGTCTACTTTCTCGCGTCTCCTTTAACCTGCAAGAAGGTGTTTGTTTTTATCCACTTCTTGCAGATCTTTCGCGGTTTCTGCTTTAATTAGGTTTTCGGATTTCGGGATCTGAGCTTTCTTTCGGCCAATTTCGTGTCGTTTCGTCCTATGTGTTTCGTTCGATTGGCTGATACCTTAACCTATGATACTAGGGTTTCTAATTTTTATGTAGTTTCGACTTCTGTTTGATATTTGCTTGATGGGTTTGTTTGCTTAATGCAGCTTAAGCTGCGGGGCCTGTTTGTTTCCGATTAGATCTGATGGATTCATGCTAATATTCAACAGCTTTGGCATTGGATTGATATCATGTACCAAGCCTTTTTAATAGATTTCTGATTCTTCTATTGCTCAAAATGTTCGTGTATATTTGTATTCGGTGAAAGAGACATAGGCGAAGCTCATAGTTTGATCTACTTATGGACTGTGTCTTACGCTTTCTAGTATCTTAGTGGTTGCAATACGTATTTTCCTTCTGTTACATGTGTGAATAGCCGGTGATTGTTTTTCTTTAATTACATTCTTTTCTTTTTCTCTTTTGGCAGGGAAGCGAGTGTGAGTACCGTCACAGTGAATATGCGCGTGTCAACCCACGTGATTGCTATTACTGGTTAAATGGCAATTGTTTGAATTTCAAATGTGGCTTTCGACATCCCGTGAGTTTACTATCTTCCTCAGCATAGGTTTCTGTTTAAGCTCGTGCAAGTGTTTTTGTGCTTATATTGTGGCTTTTGTGTCTGTTTTATTTTTTTATAGCCTTTGGATGGCTTGTTGGGGAACCAAGGAGGTGCTCCTACTGGTCCTTCACATGCACAAGCTCCTCTAAGTGCTGGAAAACAAGCAGTTCCTTGTGTTTTCTTTCAAAAGGGTATGTGCATAAAAGGAGATAGATGTGCTTTTGTGCATGTGCCCGTCCCAGCTGCTAATAAAATGCAGCAGCAGCCCGTGGAAACTGCACCTGCTACTGAACCTCAGTCTTCCAAAAAGCCATTTCAGAAGGTCACCGAGGTGAAGAAATTTCCTTCTGCTAATCTCTCAAAGGCAGTTAAAGCCCACGTTGACAAGGGGGCTACACCGAAAGTCACAGATGCTGGCTTAGGAGATAGTAGAAGGGTGGAGAGATATGTACCACATCATGTGGGCTATGACTATGAGACTGTTGGGCAGAAAAAAGCAGTGGGTGTTCCTTTGTTTACTGGCGGAGGCCACTCTACTCCATTGCTTAAGACACATGGGTCTGATGATAATATCAGCTTTCAAAATGGTAATGACCCAAATGATGTTTTAAGGGAGTCTTCTCCTGGGTTTGACGCTGGAGAGGACTTTGACGTTCTTGTGGATAATGAGCTCAGAGACTCCGAGTATTATCATGGTGATGATAGATATGGTAGAAGAGCTCAGGATGGTAGGAACTCGGTGAATGAATACCATCCAGATTTCAATGCTGTACCTGATGTTGATGCAGAAGCATATCGTGGGTTTGACCGCTACAATCACACGCAAGACAGACAGTATGCTTGGGACCACCACCGGGCTTCCGCTGAGAGAGGAGATAATTTGGAAGGAAGGGTTTATTTGACTGATGAGATGCCAGACCACGTCCCAGAATCTGATTTAAGACACCGATTGTCAAAGCATAGGAGAGGTAATGGCCCAAGATCAGATGTCGGTTGTGAAGATGCCCCTGACTATTCAGAACGAGGTTTTGCAGATTCCCATAACGACCCGCTGCAAGAGAGTTTCATTAGCAGCCGTCTTCAAGGTAGAATTAAGCTTCCTGGGAGAGTCAACAGCGGTGATGCTCACTTTGAGAGGGGAATACGGTGGGGAAGGAACAGAAGCCAATTGTCACCGGGAAGGCAAGGTAGGTTCCAGGATAGAATTAGAGGTAGTGTAGAAGAGAACCATTGCAATGATGAGGAAAGAGGCACTCCTTGCCCTCCATGGATGAGAAGAAGAGAAATGGAAGATGAAAGGAACTCTGATTTCCCAGCTCCTAAAAGGCTTGCAGAACTGAGGAGCAGGAAAGAGGAAAGTAAGGCGGAACGATCACATAGGAAAAGGAAAAGCTCGGAGGATCATCGTCGTCAGGAATCTCATGATTCATTTGTGGCTCCATTACCTCTGAGTGAAATTCTCAAGAGAAAAAGAGCAGCTGTGACTGAGAAAAACGGTGTGATCCAAGAAACAAAACAGGAAGACCGAGATGCTACCACCATTGCCAAGGAAGAAGGTGGGCATGAGCCCAAGCCTGCAGTGGAAGACAAACCGGAGCTTGGTCATGACCAGTCCTCTGAACCACAACAAACTCATGAACCCGAGAAGACAGATGAGGGAACTATGGCTGAGGATCAAGCCTATGAAGGCATGGCAGAGGACCAAGCCTATGAGGGTGATGACCCGAATGGTGAGTATTATTACGAGCAAGGATATGAAGAAGATGGGGAATACAATTATGAAGAAGGTGAGAATGCAGAAGTGGAGTATGCAGAAGGAGGAGCGGATGTGGAAGGAGGGGAAGAAGGAGAAGAAGATGGTGGCAATGAGTTTGCAAAGAAGATAGACGTCATGTTCTGATATATAACCAATAAAAAAAAAAGAAGCTTTGGTGTGGTGAAGCTTCTTCCTTGAAGGAGAGATTGGTCATTGTGTGCAACGTTGACGGGAACTTCAACGAGTTTTGGATATTGGAGACATTGTTTTCAGTGTGTCTTGTCTTGCAGTTATGAGAGACGATGTTCCTGTCGGAAAGAGAGCAAATAACGCAGCTGTTTTTGTTTTGCTTTTTATATTTGTAACAGTAGAAGAAAGTAATGAAATGGTGAAAACCTTGATTTACTCATACACGTCTATTGGGTAATTAATTTTTCTTTATTTTTTTCTACAGTTTTTATTTTTTTTATTTAAGCCCTTTCTGTATATATGTATGTTTTCTCCCGATACGCGGGCGTCGCGAAGTTCTATCAGCTCCCGATATCTGAGAGGACCAAAAGGGGCTTGAAGGAGGGAAAGTACGTGAACATGACCGATGTACAAAGAGCTTCTTTACCTCATGCGTTATGTGGGAGGGATATTCTTGGTGCCGCCAAAACCGGGTCAGGCAAAACTCTTGCTTTTGTTATACCGGTCAGTTTCGAAACTTGTTTGTAGGATATTCCACTTTGAATTTGTCTATTCTCTGGTCGTGGACTTGCTTCTGCTTGGTTTGAGAGTAATATTGGATAGGAAAATTGAGTTTTCAGTAGACAATTGCTCTGTTATGAAAAGAGTATGCCTGTCCTTTATATTGTTGGAAAGGTATTATCTTTGGATGGTGCTTCCCATGATACTTGAATTTTAAAGAAGCTAATTATGGATTGTAAGCAGTTTGGTTTTTTCTCCTAGGACTCGTTCGGTTCGGGTAGCTTTCGAGCGTAGACGAGAACCATAACGAAATCCTTGGCTTCATAACTGTGTGTTCTGTTCATTGACATCTTTTGGTGGTTGTGTGAAAAATTTAGTAGGATGCTGAAAGGATAAGAAGCCAGCGGTGGACACTGAAAGATAGGTAAGATTCTTCCGATAATATAAACGGCTGCTTACACATTACAATATCATACCATTAGAATAAAACAAAAGGGTACTCAAACAAACTCAGAGAAACCAATGAACGAAGACTCAAACAGCATGTCGGAGAGTCCGTACATGTGTTCTTATTCCCAATACCAAAAACACACACACGCAGAGAAAATGATGAGAGCTCGCGGCGAGAAGATTGATGATAAATGTGAAAACAAAAAACAAAAAAGAGGGCAATATATATATATATATATATAGGCCACTCTACTCCATTGCTTAAGACACATGGGTCTGATGATAATATCAGCTTTCAAAATGGTAATGACCCAAATGATGTTTTAAGGGAGTCTTCTCCTGGGTTTGACGCTGGAGAGGACTTTGACGTTCTTGTGGATAATGAGCTCAGAGACTCCGAGTATTATCATGGTGATGATAGATATGGTAGAAGAGCTCAGGATGGTAGGAACTCGGTGAATGAATACCATCCAGATTTCAATGCTGTACCTGATGTTGATGCAGAAGCATATCGTGGGTTTGACCGCTACAATCACACGCAAGACAGACAGTATGCTTGGGACCACCACCGGGCTTCCGCTGAGAGAGGAGATAATTTGGAAGGAAGGGTTTATTTGACTGATGAGATGCCAGACCACGTCCCAGAATCTGATTTAAGACACCGATTGTCAAAGCATAGGAGAGGTAATGGCCCAAGATCAGATGTCGGTTGTGAAGATGCCCCTGACTATTCAGAACGAGGTTTTGCAGATTCCCATAACGACCCGCTGCAAGAGAGTTTCATTAGCAGCCGTCTTCAAGGTAGAATTAAGCTTCCTGGGAGAGTCAACAGCGGTGATGCTCACTTTGAGAGGGGAATACGGTGGGGAAGGAACAGAAGCCAATTGTCACCGGGAAGGCAAGGTAGGTTCCAGGATAGAATTAGAGGTAGTGTAGAAGAGAACCATTGCAATGATGAGGAAAGAGGCACTCCTTGCCCTCTGACTCGCACGTCCTCCCCTCCACTCCCATCTCTCCTATAATTTTACATTATTAACTTTCCATTAGTGTGTGTGTGTATATATATAGAGTCCATCCATCCAATATATATGTATATGTATGTGTGTATTGATACATACAAAGTGGGTATATTGGACCGATCATAGTACAGTGCATGTATACGTCAATGCCTATTGTCCTTGCACTTTTTTCCCCAAGAAACTTGCTACTTGGTGAAAAACTAACGAACAAATATTTGAACTTAACAGTAGATTCCAACCTGAGATCCCATGCTATGCATGGGACACTATACGCATGCTAACATGCATGCCACATCATCAGGTGATATAAACACGTGCCTAGTGTGTGTGCACTGTGTAAAATAATATATATGAACCTGTGGCAATGAGGAGCATGAACACAAGGAGAACAGCTGAAACCAAACGCAAAGAGAGCTTCATATTATTTGGTGATTACTTGAACAGAGAGAGAGAGAGAGAGAGAGAGAGAGAGAGAGAGAGAGAGAGAGAGAGAGATCTTTGGGTGAGTGTGGAGCTGAGGGAGTGGGCATTATATATAATGGTTCTAAAGTGACTAAAAGAGCTTAGAACGATCCAGAATAAAGTTCGCAATAATGCATTTTATTATTTTTATGAAAAGAAAAAAAAAGGAATTATTAAATGGTAAATCTTTTTTATTCCTTTTCTCGATACTGACCACGCGAAAAAACCAAAACAAATGAACGACTGGTACACTTGCTTTCAAAAATAAATATTAATTTTCAATATCTGATATATTTACCAAAAGAATGAGGAAAAAAATACAAAAAAAAAAGACAAATTATAAAAGAAAAAAGGGACAAATCTGATATATAAATTGGTTTAAAAAAGCCTAAGTGGCAGACAAAAGCTGCTTTAAAGAGATCATTTTATGTGATTTCTAACAAATCCGCGCTGTACACATTTTCATGCCACTTCACAATGCTCGCATTCTGATCATGAAAGTGAGTTCTTGATCTCTGACACGATTTTAGATACGGTCATATAAATTATTATATACATTAACAAATTTAGATAAATTAAGGGTGTATGATGTATGTAGTGTAATTATAAATTTACGTTATATATATGGTTAAAAAGGGATAAAAATGCATATTAGTGTCCCAAATATAATGTTTTTTTTGGTAATGTGTACACTTTTTTTTATTTTGTTTAAAAAAATTTATGGGTAACAAACTAACAACTGATAATCAAATATCTAATTAATCAGGAATGCGTTGGCTTAGATTTTATGGTAAATAATAAATAAGATAAACACAGCCGTAAGAAGATCGATCAAAATTAATTTAATATAAAATTAACTGACTTTTTCTAAATATTAAAAAAAAGGAAATTAGGTTGTTGGTGGGCTTTTATGGGTTTCTGGAACAGGCCCAAGTTGAAGGCTTTGTATACTTCAATGGCCATTTTCGGTTTTTTTTTTTTTTTTTTTTTTTTTCAAAAAAATTGGATATTGGTCCAAAATCAAGTCACCCCTCACACCAGAGCAGATATGAAATTTTTATATTAAAGAGACTGAAAGATCATACACTTAAGTGTCCAAATGTAGAATGTAATAAAATAGACATCTCAACAGCAAAAAAAAAACGACAAAAGAACAGAGATTCTGTGTCCAAGATTACAACCACCAAGCCAGATATAACTTAAACCTGATATCTGATTAACCACTTAGCCACGTGACAGAGATCATGGAATTCGCCAGCCCAGATTGCTCAAATGTCAAGTTAGACTCATAGTCCAGAGTCTTAGCCGCACCTGGGAACGGTTGCGTCAGCTTGAACGGCTTCCTCTCTGGTTCCTCGAGCTGTGAATTGCAGAACGACCACAAAAGCTGCACCATTTAAGACACAGAACAAACAACAGAATCTAAGACAGGACACGATCAAGAATCCAATGGAAGGTTTTGTCAGATGGGTAAGTCTCTTCGGATATGAACCTGAATAGGGTCGGTTTTGAGGAAGTTCCTCTGAAGCCTTTTCCCGTTCGGGAGACGAATACCAACTCTGCATAGAACACTGGGGTTCCCCTTGGGTTCTTCCGGCAGTGGTGGGAATGAAGGCATGGAGTTTGACAAATCAGTCCCCTCTTTTTCAGGCATGGTCGAGGTTTTCTCTTCGGCTGTTGCTTTATCTGATGATTCTTCCATGTTCTCCAATGAAGCAGCTAATGCCCTCTGCAGTTCCTCTTCTTCGTCATTCGGGACATCCGCTGCAAATGATGCATAAATCAGTAAAGGATCAATCTTTTCTAACATATTGGGATTGTGGATTGTACTGCAAGAAGCAGATCAAGTTTCTGGATTTGAAAACGGTTGGGTGAAAATTCGAGCCAACACCTTTGGTTTTTGAATGAGGAGTCAATGAACTGCCTCTTGGTCGTTTCTTAGACAGAGAAGCAAGATGATCCCGAGGGCCGCCATCCATGAACGGTACTAAATCCTACAGTTAGAGGACATGCATTATTGATTCGATATCCAGAGACGATTAAACAGAGTTGTTGTGTTGTACGAATATTATTACCTCGAGCAATGTCTCAGGCTCGATCACTCCACACCACAACCGCATCTTTTGGCCAGTGGTCGGATCAATCACGAGCACCACAGGAATGGATTCAAGCTTGTAGTATGTGCAGACCTTCCGACCCTCCGTTGTATCTTCATAAACCTAGTTCCAAAAAAAAATGATCATTTATCACTGTTTATCTACATTGTAAGAGATTCGAGCAAGCAGAAATTCGGAGATAGATATTACACTTACTTGCCAGAAGATGAAATTGGCTTTGATGGTTTGAGAAACAGCCTCATTAGCCCATGTATCTCGATTAAGCTTTAGAAAGAAGCATTGCGCAAGAAGTTAAGATGCAAGTGCTGAGATTACAAGTCCAAAGCACACAATCAACTGTGAAAGAATTACCATGTGAGAGCTAAACTCTGTTGTAGATTGCAAGTTCACAAGAAGCCATTTATCCTGAGCAGAAGCAGCTGATTTAGCCTGGACAAGAACATTTAAAGGGGTCAGAGAAAGCATGCAACAAGCAATCACTGAGGCAATATTAGCACTTGACTGGATGATCCTATGAGCTGAAAACAAACCCTATTATACAGGAGATTAGGTACCTGTTCAAATGACCCACTGAACATCAGGTGGAAAGGAGGACGGTACAACGAGGCCAGGCTGTCTCGAGGAGCGGCCACTTCTGATCCCGAGGCTGATGCAGAGGAAGCGCCCTGATCTGGTTCCCAAACCCCGGGGCGTTTTGCCTCCTCACTGAAGTCACGGAATGCAACCAAAGGATTTGGTTCATGCCGAGAATTTCCTGCCCTCACAGCCCTATAAGAAATGCAAACAAATATGAGAGTTGCAGTACCCATACTGATCAACGAGATGTAACCAACATAACGTAAAAAATTAGAATGTGAATGTCAGTATACTATTGATTCCTGAGCAAGAGATCACAATCAGTGTGGAATACCCACGGTATATACTTACCATCTACTGACCTTAAAGGCCACAACAAAGGGCAGTACCCCCAAAACTTAAACAAGGATGCAACCACAAAAAAGAAAGAGACTCACCCATAATACATTGGTTCGCCGTAAAGTGTCTCTCTCACGACCGGTAAAGGAGGACGTACTTCATCTGCCTCATTTTGAGTAAGATTTTCATTTACAGGGTTTGAAGCCCCCCTAAGAAATCCAAAATGGGATCAGACAACTTGCAATATAGTGAGTCGAGTACCGACTCATAATTGGAGTACAAAATTCAAAAGAAGTGTAATTTAACATCACATACCCCCGTGACTGATCGGTCACAACATGCTCATTGGATTCTGGCTGAGAGTGTGTAGCAGATGGAAGCATGCCACCTTCACTTCCGACGTAAAAGAGCTGGATTGCTTCATCAAGTTTCCAGCTTGTCGCCTGTTGATCACAAATTCTGTTCATTAAGCACCCTTTTTTTTATTGGAACAACTTGTGACAGATAACAACGAAAATGTAGGCTTGGAATTAGGACGCATGGTGATTATCACCAGTGCAGGCACATCTCAAACAAGGAACTCCCCACTGTTGAACTAAATAGCCAATTGGTTCTCACTCAGTGCAATACAAATTACAAGCTAATATATGATTTGCAGAGAAAAAACGATGAAAGCCATTATTAATACATCACATTTTGTCTAAAATGGCGATGCTATCATATAAATGAATTCAAAATCTCGTTCCTCGATCAACAAGCCATGACACCATTGGAATCGATTCAGTATACTATCCATCACAGAGATCTCGTTCCATGAATCCAAATCAAGCGAGAAATATCAACGCCTCCCTGTATCAACATCTCAGCCGAGATTCCACCCCGGCAGCTCGAATTGAGTCACTAAACCCTAAGCTGGAAAACCCAGAAGCATACACGTACACCCGAAACTGAAAAACCTAAACTATAATCAAATTTAAGTCCTTTGCACGAATCCATCAGCCGATCTTAACACCCAGCCCAAACAATTAAGGAGCTTAAGTCACGAACAGCCTAAGAACCTGCAAAAACTGGCGGGCGGTCTCGGCGGTCTGTCCGACAGCGATCTCAAGGAACGAAGAGACCAATCTCTGCTGGTCACTTGCGGACAGCCTTCCATCCATTGCAAAGCAAGAAATCCTTCAACCCCGCTTGTAGAGCCCCCTAATTTCTAAGAGCCCAGAAGATCAATTGACGAATTTTTTTCTGAATGATCTGAGCAAAAGAAGGACAACCCTTGATTCAACACCAAAGATTCAAGCTTCTTCCACGAGAAAGCGTACTGGGGGAGAAGAATGGAGAACTCGAAGAGTTATCAACCCACGAAAAAAAAGAGTGGGATGAAACTCGAGAAATAGGAATTCTGAGGGACAAAACGGCAAACTCGAATTTCCGGTCGAACATTTTAATTTTTAAGACACATAGTTACCATGTGTTGCTTCGTATCTGGGATTTGCTCCTTTGAAAATTTACGAATTTAGTCTTCTCAAGGGCGGTATAAGCTGTCCCAAGAGCGAGGGTTCGTTTGACATTTCGCAAATATTTTAATTAAAAAATAACCCGTGAATTCAATTTAACGCGTAGCTCTTGGATTTGTTATTGGGCCTGTGAGGCCTGTTATGTGGATCGGCTCGGCCCAAATAAAGGCGCCTCTCTAATAAAGATTGTCCCCCGCGCACTTGGCTTTTCATCGTGCCGCTCTTTCTATTACAACACGTAGTCAGTCTCTCTCTCGCTCTTCTTGACTTCTCCTTTCCCTTCCGCGAAATGTGGAGTAGAAATGGCATATCTTCTCCTCGATTGATACAGGCACTGTTTCTCTAGGGTTTTCTTTGATCTCCCGCGTGATCGCTGTCTCTGCCTCTGCTTCCTCTGCATGCGCGATTCTTGGGCGATGAAGCGCGATTTCGACGAAATCTCGGAGAACGAGTGGTCCCGGTACTCCTTCAACCCGTCACGAGTGCTCAAGCGGCCGCGGACGCCGAACAGGACGCGGCCAGCGAATCCGCCTCCTCCGATTGAATCTTTCTCGTTTAAGAGATCGGCGGTGGAAGAGGAGAACAGCAGCGGCGATTGCGTTGAAGTGCAGAACTTGGGAGACTCGGATTCGGAGGTGAAAAATGCAAAGAGAGAGGATTTTTTGTTGGAGGACGAGGAGGAAGAGGAGTTAGAGGTGGTGACCAGAGCTGGTCGCGCCGCTCGGCGGTTTGTTGTGGAAGACGAGGAGTTGAGCGATGACGGTTTCGATAACGAGATTGAGCTCAATTCCAGCGAGGACGAAGGGGAAGGAGGAGATAAAGATGAAGAAGGCGAAGATGACGTTGTGGGGAAGGCACTTCAGAAGTGCGCCAAAATCTCGGCGGATCTTCGGAAGGAGCTCTATGGTAGTTCTTCAGGGACTACAACTTGTGAAAGGTACTCTGAAGTGGAATCTTCTACGGTGCGGATTGTCACGCAGGTAATGGGATTTCCAATCCTCTATTGAAAGTTTCTTCTTTTTGTCCTGAGATTCTGCTTCAATGTGGAAAATTGGTCTTCTGCTCTTGCTACTTCGTTAATTTGTCTCTCTGCAAGGAGAGATCTTTGGTTATTTTGGCTCAGTTAAAAGGTTTCTACTCGTTTGTTGATTTAGTTCTTCTACTTGTCAAGTACTATTACTGCAAGAGTATAAGTTCGTGTTTTTTCTTTCATATCTTGATCTAGAATCTCTGATAGATTACTATACAATGTTTTCCAGACTGATATTGATAAAGCCTGCGGGAGTGAGGACTCTGATTTTCAGCCTGTACTCAAGCCATACCAGTTGGTTGGTGTTAATTTTCTTCTTCTTTTGTACAAGAAGGGTATTGGGGGAGGTACATATTTCTTTTTATAGATTTGATCTCATGGAGTTTAGCACCTATTTAGATTTTGAGTCTGAACATGGTTATAATTGGCCTTTCTTGCAGCAATTCTGGCCGATGAGATGGGTCTTGGGAAGACCATTCAGGTGCATTATGCTCTGTGTTTTTTTCTTGCGCCAGTGTCTTTGTTTGGTTATCACGCTAATGCTGCTGTCATTAACAGGCGATTACCTATCTGACCCTTCTAAAGCATTTGAATGATGACCCTGGCCCCCATTTGATTGTATGTCCTGCTTCTGTCTTGGAAAACTGGGAGAGAGAACTCAAAAAATGGTGTCCGGCGTTTTCTGTGCTCCAGTATCATGGGGCCGCTCGAGCAGCCTATTCTAGGGAATTAAGTGCTTTATCAAAGGCTGGAAAGCCGCCACCATTTAACGTTCTTCTTGTGTGTTATTCACTATTTGAACGTCATAGGTACAGCTTAAAGTAGTTTTGATGGGTTTTTCTTTGTGGCCTGAACATGTTACTCATAAACGATGGCTATTACAGCGAGCAGCAGAAAGATGACAGGAAAATACTGAAACGCTGGGGCTGGAGTTGTGTATTAATGGATGAAGCCCATGCTTTGAAGGATAAGAACAGTTATAGGTGGAAAAACTTGATGTCTGTGGCCAGAAAAGCAAACCAACGACTGATGCTGACAGGAACGCCTCTACAAAATGATTTGCATGTATTATTGATTCTTCTTCTTCTTCTTTTGCTCGCTATTTTACGACCTGTTGCTTGAGATATTATCTAATGTTCGAGGCACCTCTGTGTTTTTCTTTAGTTCTTAACTGTTAATGCTTCTTACTGGTGACATGGTCATCGACGCAGGAATTATGGTCACTGTTGGAGTTCATGTTACCTGATATCTTTTCGACCGAGGATATCGACTTGAAGAAGCTGTTGAATGCAGAAGATACCGAGTTAATTACTCGCATGAAATCTATCCTAGGTCCCTTCATCTTGAGGCGTTTAAAGTCCGATGTCATGCAGCAACTTGTTCCCAAGATACAACGGGTATGGAGATATATATCTATGTATCCAGTAGTTACAGGGCATAAACTTTGAAGCTGTAATTTCTCATCGTTTTTTTCTGGATCATTTCTGCCTCCTGAATGAAGCAAGGACAAACCAATGCAGGTTGAGTATGTAGCTATGAATAAGCAGCAGGAAGATGCATATAAAGAGGCAATAGAAGAATACCGTGCTGCTTCTCAATCACGACTTTCTAAGCTTTCTTCGAAACACTTGAATTCCATCGCAAAGGCCCTCCCAAAGCGTCAGATTTCAAATTATTTTACTCAATTTAGGAAGGTAATATGTTCTCCTCTTATTTCTAGTCTCATCACCAGTTTCATTTTTCATCAAGAACTGTCCAAAAATGGTCTTATCGATTCTTGATGTTTCAGATTGCAAATCATCCATTGTTAATTAGGCGAATATACAGTGATGAGGATGTAGTTCGCATAGCCAAGAAGTTACATCCGATTGGAGCATTTGGATTTGAGTGTTCCTTGGAAAGAGTAATCGACGAAATGAAGAGCTACAATGATTTCAGTATCCACCGGGTAAATCGTCTTGTCTCTTGCCTTGACAAGTTATGGTTTCAATAAACCGTTCTAATATCAGGATTCCGATGAACTACTCGTTCCAGCTCTTGTTCCAATTTGGTATTACCGATTCAAAAGGAACTCTATCAGAGGAACATGTTATGCTCTCAGCAAAATGCCGGGTATCCTCCGTTCGTCCTTATTCATGTCTCTAAAGTGCTTAATTGTCATTAAAATGGAAAAAAAATGGAATGGAATGTGAATAATGTTTTCAGGCATTGGCCGAAATACTAACGTCGCTGAAGAAAGACGGCCATCGTGCTCTGATATTTAGCCAGTGGACGTCAATGCTCGATATTCTAGAGTGGACTCTGGATGTTATTGGCATCACATACCGGAGGCTAGATGGAAGGTACAAATTAACTATATAGTATATACATATAACCAAAACATCTCTTCCGGGGAAGGAGGAGATAAAGATGAAGAAGGCGAAGATGACGTTGTGGGGAAGGCACTTCAGAAGTGCGCCAAAATCTCGGCGGATCTTCGGAAGGAGCTCTATGGTAGTTCTTCAGGGACTACAACTTGTGAAAGGTACTCTGAAGTGGAATCTTCTACGGTGCGGATTGTCACGCAGGTAATGGGATTTCCAATCCTCTATTGAAAGTTTCTTCTTTTTGTCCTGAGATTCTGCTTCAATGTGGAAAATTGGTCTTCTGCTCTTGCTACTTCGTTAATTTGTCTCTCTGCAAGGAGAGATCTTTGGTTATTTTGGCTCAGTTAAAAGGTTTCTACTCGTTTGTTGATTTAGTTCTTCTATTTGTGGTTGGCAGTACCCAAGTCACAGAAAGACAAACCATAGTGGACACTTTCAACAACGACACAACCATATTTGCGTGTCTGCTGTCTACAAGAGCTGGAGGACAGGGTCTGAACTTGACAGGAGCTGACACCGTCATCATTCACGACATGGATTTCAACCCGCAAATCGATCGACAAGCCGAAGATAGATGCCATCGCATTGGGCAGACAAAACCCGTCACCATCTACAGGTGAGTGACTTCAACCCGATGGGGTCTTTTATCGTCGGTCTTTTCTCTCAATCATGCGTTATATACCGATGTATCGATGCAGGCTGGTGACGAAGGGAACGGTGGACGAGAACATATACGAGATAGCGAAGCGGAAACTGGTCCTTGATGCGGCGGTTCTGGAGTCTGGCGTGGACGTGGATAACGACGGGGACACTCCTGAGAAAACTATGGGCGAAATTCTTTCTTCCCTTCTTATGGGGTAAAAAAGAATGTAATATTCGTTAGTTGGGAGGTAAGTAAAAATTCTGCAGTAAGTTTTTTTTTGGGTGGTCATGTATCATTAAGCAGCTCTAGGGGGGGAAACCAAACAAGAAGAGGAGAATGTTAGATTCATGAAGGGTGGGGACATAACCAAATGAAACCGAAGCAAATTAATGCCTAACTAAGATTATACGTCTCAAAGTATCTGTTTTGGTCTGATCAGAAATCCAAATGTCATGGACGCATTGTATATTTGTACATTAATTACCCTTTTGAACCGTTGTCAAAGATGATTATGCACCGTGTAACCAATAAAAACAGAATTATTTAGAACCTTAGCCGTGTGATGAATAGTTTACGATAAATTTATTTCATTACGTTTGTAATGGTTGATACTTTAGAAACATAGTTCTGATTATTGAAACCGAACCGAGCCCACCCCTAGTCTCGGTCTACAAAAACGCTGCGTTTTGACGATTCATTCCCTCTGTTACATCGCGAAACGCAGAGGAATTTGAGCTTCTCCATCTAAGCCATGGCAGAGGAGCGAGACGATCTAGCGGAATCGCTTTATGTTCTGTTTACGAACGTCTCGTCAATGGTGGAATCTGATATTCAGGTGAACAACCGGAACCGGAGATCATAATTTCTTGTCTACCAATTTCACCTTCATTGATCTGAAATCAAAATGTTCTTCTCTCGTCGTGAACCTCGTTAGGGAACGAACAATCTGCTCGATCTAGCGGAGCAGATGCATCTGAGAGTTTCGGCGGAGTGCAATGACTTCGGCGATGTCGCGGCGGGGCTTAGGGTCTCCGATGAGAAGATGAAATCCAAAACCGGAATACGTCCGGCAGATTTGAAGCCATCGAGAAACAGGTGACGGTTTTCGAGGCGGTTATCTCCGTTCTCGGTCGACACGCCTCGTTGCTCGATTCCAAAATCCGATCTTCGTATCAACGTCAGCATCGTCACGATCAGCAGCCGCAAAATCGTACATCGCCGCCGTGACAAGCAGGCACTCATCTTCGATCGCCATTCCAATGGTTTCCCCAGTTTATTCATGGAAAAATTTCCGCGTTTACGCTACTTCCCATTGTAATACAATCATCTCACTGGTTTAGCCCTCTACTTCTTTCTGGTTTTGTTTGCCACAAAGATTTAAGACTCGCGCGATCACAAATTCGCGCTCTGAAAATCTAGAATCCTATCGAACACGATTTGGGTTCCAAGATATCTGACTGTTATAGCACTAATCTTAATCTATACCGATTTCAGGTACCGAGGAGCGAAATCGAGAGATTTAAGTCGAGACTGCGACGCTGAGCCGAAGAAGAAGCAGAGCAGTCTTTGAAGAAGGGGGCGGAGCAAGAGGAAACTGCTTCGCTGGTTTCGCTGACTGATGAACCGTTGCTTCTTCGTGAAGATGGAAGACGATGATTCAATGAGAGCGACAGAGATAACTCACAGTCTGAGCATTCTTCTTCTTCATCATCATCATCATCTTCCCGCCAGGTACTTTCCCAGTTGTTCTTCTCATTTTCTGGGCCCTCAACCTAAAGATTCATGTAAAGGAAGTGTTGGCGTAAAGTTCCAAGTTTCAAACAAGAACAAAAAAGGTTCCACTATCAGTGGATTATGAATAAGGAAAAGCGTGTATACCAGGAATCAGATACTTTGATTAACCCAAAGTTAAGAACTTTATATATATTCATACATATATACATGTATATATATAGTCGGAGCTTAATAGCTTAATATTAGCCATGCAGTTCTTGTAATTAATTATGGCTATGAACTTCTTCAATGTGATTAATGTGTATATATACCTTGAGAAGATGGGGATGAAATATGATGGAATGGGGCATTGTCATGTTCATGCGAAGCTCATTATCATCTTCTTCTGAAGCCGAAACGCTAATCCTCTTCTCTGCTCTTCCTCTGCTCCTAAGTGGGACAATTCATTTCAAGTGCAGATCGATTTGTTATGATGTCTTTGCCAATTAAATTAAATTAAATGAATTTATCAGAAACACACTAGAATAGCAACTTTTTAATTAAATAAAAAAGAAAAATGAAAGTTCATGTAATTTTTTACCTTTAAAAACTTAGTTTTTTTTTTAAACGTTTGAAAGTCGCAACAAAGAGGATGTAATTACCAATTTGGATAAAAGGGCAATAATAGTGTACCCAAACGATGGCAATTTACATGATACAAATGCCAATAATGTAGTTTATGATGAAATAATATAATATCGGGTGAGAAGGAAAAATAAGAAATCCGAGGAATTGAATTAACCTAGGAGTTGGATGTTGAGAAAGAGAAGGTTTAGGAGCCAAGTGGCGATCTTTCCTTGTGTGCACAGACATATCGTCGTGTTCCTCGCCACTGTCTTGTCTTCTCCTTAGTGAAGAATTCCCCTCTGTCCAAAAAAAAAAAAAACATTAAAGACAAATTTACATATATAACCGATTGATAAAGATAAATTATACATTTAAATTTGTTAACATTACAGAAAAATAATGCTCCAAAATCATTTGGGTTAATATACATAATAATGTTATATTGTGCTTTAAGCTTTAAGAACCACAACCTTGTTTCCCCGAAGCGAGTCTAGGCCCTCTATACATCTGAGACAATTAAAAGAAAATGTTATATTATATATATATATATATATATATATATCTTCAAATCAATTGAAATTAAGAAAATGTTGGGAATTATAACAAGAGAGAGACCTGGAGATGGCTCTTGACGTGTGAAATGGTCAGTCCCTTCACATCCATCATTCTAAGCACAAGCTTCGGAGTTGCTTCTGTTTCATTCACTCCAATAAGAAAAGGTTCAAACTTTACACTTTTCAACAGAAAAAGATTGAAACTTTTTTTTGTCATTGAGATGATTATTAGTCATCACGATGATGATTGATGATGATGATGATGGAGAGAGAGACATACTGTGTTGTCCGCCGAGCAAATCAACGGCGTTAACGAAGCAACGGTGAAGCTCCGGCGTCCATTTCAGGCGAGGCGCCGGCGACCGTACGTACTGTCTCACTCCGTTACCGTTAACGTTAGTACTCTTCCCACATCTAGCCATCTTGTGTGTATATACGATGATTTTCCGACCAAAAAGCTTCTGTTTTCTTCAATAATAACAAAAAAGTTTTTTTTTTTCAAAGTCTGCAAAGGAAGATGGTGAAGAATAAGAATGCAGAGATGATTCGCCTTCGAGAAAATTTTCTGCTTTGCTTTTTGCCCTTTCCAAAAGATGGCTCTCCTTTTTCCATCTATTCCTTTTGTCTCTTTTTTACATATACATGCTTCTCCACGAATCAATATATATGTACATATATGCATGTGTATATATGTACACAATGTCTATACAATGCTATTAATTTATTTTATTGCTAAATAAAAATCAAACAATGTATTCGATAACTCAAACATTGGCTAAGATTCATGCATTTGATAGATAAAATAAAATTTGTAAAATATTTACACATTTGGATATGAAAAAGTTGCTTAAAATATTCTATCCAAATTTCAATATATTAATTCGAATTTTGATACATACATATATATATATATGCTTCTTGTACAGAATGTAATGTTTGCTTGTGCATTTGAAATAGCTCTCCAACTGCCATGCTTTGACCTTGGGAGCCATTGTATTCCAAATTTCCCTTCGAGGGTTGTGAATTATTCACTTTATGCTTCTATAAATTCACATGTTCCAATGGTCCAATTTATTACTCTCGTATGTTTTCGGACCACCCTTTTGACTTCTATGCCCTAATTATACTCATTCCTCCTCGCTTTTTCTTCTTAATATCAATAATGCATATGCTTTTATTCTTTCTTCTTCTTTTCACTATGGAAAATTCCCACCTTTACCTTCACTTGTTATAAGGATATTAATATTTCGGTATTGATTTGATAATTAAATTTATTGTTGTTGATGTATGTATGTATGTATGTATGTATGTATGTATGTATGTATGTATGTATGTATGTATGTATGTATGTATGTATGTATGTATGTATGTATGTATGTATGTATGTATGTATGTATGTATGTATGTATGTATGTATGTATGTATGTATGTATGTATGTATGTATGTATGTATGTATGTATGTATGTATGTATGTATGTATGTATGTATGTATGTATGTATGTATGTATGTATGTATGTATGTATGTATGTATGTATGTATGTATGTATGTATGTATGTATGTATGTATGTATGTATGTATGTATGTATGTATGTATGTATGCTGCGCCAAAACCATGTCGGTGTTGTTAGCATTGATCATCATATTTCTTTTGTTTTTATTTATACACACAATATAGTCAGATAAAAAAAGATTTAAATATCAATTATAATCCAATATAGTCTGATAAGTTATATATATATACATATATTCTATAATTTACTATATATATGATATGGAAAACTCTTAAATATCGGACGAAGTCATAGAATGATCCCGAGAAAACCACTTTGTCCACACGGAAAATATGCAACGTGGACCTTTTGTTACCCCCCACATGCATGGTGAGACCTAACATAACATCGAAAAATCTTTGTTGACAAATATCAATCTTATGCTTTGCCCATTTTATCATTTTCACTCCATCCACATCTATAAGATGGAATTTTGTGTAAAATTTCCAAAATCATTGGAGAAGAACTTGTATAGGATTTATGGGGGAAAATCCAGTATTTTATATATAGAAAAAAAACCCAAAATTTGCCAAAAATCACAATTAAAAATCATGTTCTTAGCGATCTATAACATACGAATGAAATATGGTTAATGCAAAGTTATGTAAATATCTCATTACATTAGTGTGAAAATAACGTCACATTAAATATAGTTAAATATTTCCCATATTACATATGTATCTAATGTAATATCACATTAAAATAAATAGTAGCCAATGATTTCCCCATGCATGGGTCCCTCAAACAAATGGATTGATTTCAATCATTATATTCCACATCAACATGCACCAATGGAGAAAAACACCTAGAGATCAATGGAGACAAAGGAATAGGAATTTGATTCAAAAGCGATTTAATAATAGATTGTGACATCAAAGAAAATTAAACACGCGGAAATCATATAATATATATAAAATAATATAAACAATTATCTTGAAAAAGTTCTGAGGCGGTAGGACCGAACAACCTTTGACTTTATCCCCTTAAAGGTTGGAATTAGGTTTTCAAACAGATCCCGTCATCATTTTGAATTACGCAAAATCTAAACAAGACTATGAATGTATATATTAACCAAAAAAAATCCAATCATTTGCTCATGTGTTTTATCATACAATTCAACGCATCTGGTGAGCCTAGGATCACATATTTACATACAATTATATACCCATTTCATAATCCCAATTATGAGATAATAGCCAGTCCATGAGAGGCCTGCAAGAGCACATTACCTAAAAGCACTGAGCTTTGTCTGAAACTGAAACAGTAAACACTCTTATCTTCATATGGATTTAGCAACCACTAGCTAGTTTCCACCAAGACAGCATTTCAACAAAGAACAGAACAGAAAAACCCTTTACCAGCCAAAACACAGAATGCTTACATCCAACTGCCATTTTCTTGAGATAAACTCTGCAAAACCTTTGCAAGATGTGTGACATAATCCCGGGTATACACTCTCATGTGGTTTGTGGAATTATATTGTCGATGGGTTTTGTTTATTTCTGTAAACAAGATTTGAGTTGAAAAAACGGGAGGAAAAGTATAAAAAAAAAAAAGAATTCTTGAACACGCATCTGATGAAAGAGTACCGACAATTTTATCATCACTAGCAGCAAGAAAGACGCAAAAGCTCCAGAGCTCAAGTGTTTCCTGCCCAGAAATTCCAGAGCGAGAGTTAGGACAGAACAAAAACTGGGTGAAACCAATCATGACACCTAGTGAAATTCAGGCCAACACTATACACACAGAATGAAAACACACACAAAAATTATCACAGAAGCTTATTTTTTTATTATATGTGCATTGTATTTGTACATGGCAATCCAACATCAAGAGGTGAGGAAGTCTCAATGGCAGGTGAGAAGAGAAAGGGGAGAGGAGAGCCATCAGAGAATTTTTCTCCATCAACAGGCTGTGTAAATATTGTATCCCATATACATTCCACATATTCATCATTACATCCACATTGAAGAGTCTTCCACTCGAGGTTAGCAGCCGATGATCAAACAAGCAAAATACCCAGAATGTGTCAGTGCAAGTGATTCTATTCTACGCTTTCTAAACATCTATTCAGACCGAACCAAAAAAACAGATGTATGGAGTGAGGACTCACTCAGGATAGTTTTTGGAACAACCTTCTTTCTTGTCTCGGTTGAAAGCATTTAGCAGGAGTTTGATCTTTGATGACGATTACAAAGCTCACACAATCACAAAACCAGCAACTCTAGTTGAAGCCTTAAAGATTGAGTTTTTCAGTGCCAAAATGTGAGAACACAAGTTAAAACGTGGCGTGGCATGGCATGGCTACTGGTTAATACCATGATTATAAAGCTCTTTTTATTCAAATTTTCAATGTCAACAACGACGAAACTGCACAAGCACTAAGAAACACCAAGAGTGACAGAAAACTCAATTAAACGAGCGGGGAATACGAAGCGAAAGGATTTGATCTAAACGGAAAGAGATTCAAGATGCATGTTGGTGTTACTAAGCTAAATGGTCGGGTAGTTCCTATGACAGGGAAACTTCAGCTCAGGAAACAAACGTTAGACCCTCAGCTCCTTTCTAAGACAAGACGAGAATGGTAAACAAGAGAGCAAAATATTGGACCGTCCGCATTGTGTAATACATTTAAAGGAAAAAGATGCCCAATCAGAATTTAACCCTTCACAATGAGCCACCCATCAAAATGGCTCACAATTTCATCAATTCGTAATCGTAACCGAAACCTAAATTAGATACGACAAAGAAACGCATTCAATCCAGTCAACGACCCGCAAAACAACCGATTTTGGCAATCTCCAGCTAAATTAAAACCCCAAATCCAAAAGCGTGAGAGCGTAACACTCACCCGGAAAACCAGAAACCGCCGCTCGGAGGCTGAATCTAGGCATTAGCGGTTTTCGCCACGAGAGGAACGCCACTTCCTTGGAGGTTATGCTGCTTGGATTGTTCCTCGCGGATCTTCTGCATCGCGAGCATCCTCTCCATGACGAGCTCGTACTCGCACTTCTCGTAGGAGTGCCGCTCGTCCTCGCACTTCCATGGAAGGTAGAACTCGGCCTGGCGACACTTGTTGAGCGGGATCAGGAGATGAGCGCACTGATCTCTATAGGAGAGTGGGACCTTGGCCTCCACCATCTCCGCCTGCGTAGCGATCATCTTCTTCGATGAACCTGGAACCTCCATTGTCGTTTGCTCCCAATCAATCGAACCCCCCAAAATCCAGTACGCCTTGCCCCTTTTTTCTGGTCTCCTCGGCTTCGTATCGTTGAAGCACTGGACCTACCTATCGCATTAGCCAGCGTTTCAAGTAAGATTCCATCATATGGGCCCATTTAGGATTTCAATATGGGCCTACTTTGGAGCCCATTTAATATTGTCCATATCTCTCGCCTAAAAATCTAAAAAACCATGAATTCTAAATAAATAAACTTTTTCGATATAAAAAAATATCCTATATAAATAAATAAACTTTCTCACTTCTAAACAAATACACAAACTTTATCAACACTTTATCATAACGCTAAACGTTAGTCAACTAAGATTCAATCAGACGTTAAATGCTAACATAGCGTATCAGCAAAATATACATATACATGTCCATAGTATAAAATAGAATATTGTTTAAAGTGTACAGTTTTTGGGCGATATTTCATTTAAAAAAAAAACAAAGAAAAATAAACCCTTTGTGTTCGTTTGATATAATACAGAAGCTTCGAACGTAAACCAAACGAAAAAAAACGACTACAGAGATTGCAAAATTCACAGACTTTGGTATGGTGGGAACAACAAAGAAGAAGAAGAGGAGAAACCCTAAGAAGACTTCTTCTGCTTGTACTTGACGGAGGAGAAGACGTAAATGGCCATGTTGAGGAGGCTGAGACCGGCCAGAAGCCAGAAGAAGTAATCGAGATGGCCCTTGTTGAGGTTGTCCGAAATCCATCCTTCCTTCCCTCCCCTCGTCGTCAAATACGTCACCACCGTCAGTATCAGCGAGCTCAGGTAATTCCCCAGCGCCGTCGTCAGAAGCGCCAGCGCACTGCACAGGCTTCTCATCGCGTCCGGTGACTGGTCGTAGAAAAACTCCAGCTGCCCGATGAAGAAAAACACCTCCGCCGCCCCAAGTATGAAGTACTGCGGGATCTGCCAGAACACGCTCATCGGCACGGCAGCCCCTGACTCCACCAGACCGTACTCTCGGGCCAGGTGGAGCCGGACAATCTCGACTACGGCTGCAGCCGCCCCGCCCACGATCTGATAATTATCAAAAAACAGAGAGCGAACCTCCACAAGGCTATCATCGAGGAGAGCCCTTTCTTCTTCGATGGAACCCATCGTATCTCGACTACGGCTGCAGCCGCCATGCACAGGACTGAGATGAAGAGGCCGATCCCCATGCGCTGGAGCTCGGTAAATCCCTTTCCCACGCCTGTGAACTTCCGAGCCAAGGGCACAATGACGCGGTCGTAGAGCGGGACCCACACGATCACGCTGGCTGTGTCGAATGTCCCCAGAGTGGCAGGAGGGAGCTCGAAGGAACCAATCTTGCAGTTCATGGATCTTCCTTGTTGGACGAACATGGTGGACATCTGGGCATAGACGGCTGAGAACAGGATACCAGATGCCCAGATGGGAAACATACGGATCAGAATCTTGAGTTCTTCAACCTGCGTCACCGTGCATAGCCTCCAAGGGTTGGAAAAGTCGCCGGATTTTACTTCGTCCTCTGACAGGACAGCCGCTTTGTCTAGACACCTGAACCGTTACGAATACACGGTGTTATTTTCCGACAGAAAGTTCCGATTTTTACGTAAGCCGAATTTCAGAACAACAAAGGGACAAACAGATGTTACTTGTAATCCTCTGTGTGCTCGATTTTCCGACTTCCAGCAATGGCAGAGTTCTTGTCTTGTGTTTCATAAAGAAGCGAGTTGTCTTCAGGGACATTGAGATTCAACTTATGGAACGAGGCAACAAGGACCTGACAAACCCTTGTGATTGGGCTCCCTCCCGGTTTCTGGAACCTATAAAGCCGAGTCCCGAAAAAGAAACTAACGATAGCGAGACCCATGAAAACAGTGGGTATCCCGAAGCCCAGGCCCCACCCGCAATTCTCCTGAATCCACACTAGAAGACTTGATGACACGAGCGCACCAATATTGATGGAGAAGTAAAACCAGTTAAAGAAAGAAGCCTTTTTGACACGTTCACGTGAGTCAGTGTCATCAAACTGGTCTGCACCAAAAGATGAGACGCATGGTTTGATGCCTCCTGTGCCAAGGGCTATCAGGTAAAGCCCGAAAAAGAACACTGCGTATTGAGCTGACGTGGCAGGAGGGCACAGGGCACCGACACATTCGGCTGGCTTCAAGGCCGGAACTGAGGCTGAGAGCGTCAGTGCAGCCATTCCCTGACGAAATATAACCACTATATCAACAAGACACAAGGAAGTAGGAACGACTGGTAATGCCTTATGATGCAATAAAAAGACAACCTATGAAATCAGTAATCTAATGCAGTTAAAACTTCTCCTGAACTACCTTGACCTAAATCAATTGTACAGCAAGCCTATGAGACATCTCTCTAGCGAAGTCATGGCAGTAAGTAGAGTTTATAACGGCTGCTTACAACGAAGTAGATCGCGGAGAAACAACCGATGGTCCAGTATCTCCCCCAGTAAGCATCGGCTAAGATGGCTCCGATGAGAGGGGTGATGTAGCACGTTCCCTGCCATGTCGTGACGTTCCTAGCCGCAGAAACGTTGCCCTCGTGCAATTTAAAGGTGAGGTAAGTGATAAGATTGCCGGCGATACCATAGTAAGCTAACCGCTCACAACACTCGTTGCCTGCTCATGTGGATCGTGAAATACAGGTTAATGACAAATGAACAATGAGGAAAGGCTGAAGCAAATGTGAACCAAGAACGAGTGTTTACCCAGAATAAATGGGCAAGCTTTCCAATTCCCAGTTTTCTGCTTCAGTGGAGGGTTTCCATTGATGTCAACAGAACCATCTTCAGCATACAATTTGGGTTGGTCCTGAAAAATTCAGAGATTTATTGAGCATAAGACTAAAAAGAGAGATAGAAGAACACATTTTCCACGAGATTAGCCCCAGGCGGCTTGAATCGGAGAGAAACAACTCCTGAAATCAAGCAAGATTTAAGGGCTCGGATAGGTGTGTCAAGCTGCTTTGACTTCCTAATGAAAATCGATACATTTCACGACGAGATAAGAAAAGCTAACTCATGAAGTTCTGCTAAGAAAGCCATTTCAGACATGACTGACTATGGAGAAGTATAATCGAAGAGAGAAAATTCAATACCCATAACAAGAAACTTGTGAAATTCAAGGAATTCAGAGAACGATGAAGAACTTCGAGATAAACCGCAATTACCCAGAAATCGCAGACAGCGTAAGAACAAGTTTCGAACAAAATTACGAGTTTGGCAAATTTAGCCGAGGAAGAGAACTATTGACTCTGAAATACTTCAACGACACGAAACCCCGAGAATAGTAACCAGACAGCCAAGAACAGATACCCATCACGAAACCCCGAGAATAGCAACCAGACAGCCAAGAACAGCTACCCATCACGAAACCCTAAGATACGAAATCGCAACTCGCAAAGCAAGTTGTTGATCGGATTCAAAATTACACAAAAGCATCTGATAATTATCAAAAAACAGAGAGCGAACCTCCACAAGGCTATCATCGAGGAGAGCCCTTTCTTCTTCGATGGAACCCATCGTTCCCTTCAGCGGGTATGGTCACCGTTTGGAGCAAACCGATTTAAAGACGACGAAACAATGAGGCGTTGGAATGCGTGACGGATGGGAAATCCAAACTGACGAAACTACAAAGTAATATTTTAAGGAATGGTTTTTGTCACTTTCCAAGTCTGATGTCGTATTATTCTAAACAAAAATTAAAAGAAAATGGAATTTATGGATTTGTGTTTATTCGTAGCTTTACTTTAATTTATAACAGCATAATCCCTTCAAAGAAAACTAAAAAAAATAATTAATAAATAAAGACGGGTTAACAAGAAAAAAGCTGGCTGGTTGGTTGGTAAGAGCAGCCGCACATGCACACCACGTGCTTCAGATTCAGTTTGGAATGTTGTAAGTAAGAAGCCCAAACGAAACTTATTCGGCCCATTGGGCCATAACCCACCCAATAAAAGGTAAATAATGGATGAAAGAAGGTGAAGACTGAAGCATAACTAACAAGTAACAAGATTCTCTTTCAATGTGTTGTAACATGAGTTACCACATAGTTTACAACAAATTTTAAAAAATAGTGTATGATGATGAATCCAAAGGACAAAGCCATCCAAATGTTGTACCAAAATCGTAATATTTCAATGCTTCGAGGGCTTTCCTCGTGAGAACTCACCTGATTCTGTTCAATGTTTTTGTCTCTGCTGTCCTGACCCGACCACCATCTCTGCATCAAGACGTGAACTCTCCTTCTCGAAGAAGTCGAATTCTTGCAGAAGCTTCGCGAGCTTTGTGGCGTTATCTTCCCTTATATGTGGAGGGACCTTCTCTTCATATCCTGACACGCTCATCATCTTCTTCAACTTCTCTGTTTGCCTGATGAAACCATTTAAAAACAAAAACAAGATGAGGACGGGAATTTTATCACAATCTGCAGATCATATCGAATCGATTTCTCTCAAAGTTTCTATTTTTCGGGTCAATTTTTACTTTTGAATCTCGTCGATCTTGTTTCTGATCTTTTCGCGTTCAGCTTCTGCATTGATGGCTCCATCGACTTTGAGATACACCTTCAGGTTCTCGCTCACCGTCTCTACTGCAGATCCAGCCGGTGCTGCCGTGTGTTCTCCCTTTAACATAACCTGTTAGAGAGTTTTATATACAAATTAGTAACCAATGGGATAAGAGATTTAAAAAAACATGAGAAAGAAAAAGGAACTCATCCATTTCAGACACCTCTAAGGATGATAAGTTTGCGAGGGTTCTGATCTCCAACTCGTGGGATTTCACAATTTCTGACGTTGAGTCGTTTTCGCATAGAGCAAAGGCTGGTAATCTGCGAAAGAGTTGAAGGAGAAAACAAAACTGTTACCCCGAAATATATTTGTAATTTGAAAGTCAGGGTCTTAGACAAAACGAGGTTGTGGTTGCATCGTATAGTATTAGTCTGACCTTTCATTCTTCTGTTTCTCCAGCAGCTCTGCCCTGAGCGCTCTAAGAGATTTCACACTTGACAGAACGATGTCCATTTCAGTTTCCACGGTTTCATTCGTCCAGCTCTGCATCAGGTCAGGAAAAAAAAGAAGAGAAAAGATTATATACCGAATAAAACGGTTAATTACAATAAATCACTAAAAGATCTTCATACCTCCGTAACAGATGGGTAATCACAGATCATGATAGATGCCGCCCTTTGATAATCTTTGGGAGAGGGCAATCGTTGCCATAATTCTTCAGTAACAAAAGGCATAAAGGGGTGGAGCAGTCTTAAACCAGTCTCCAAACAGACCCAAAGAGCATGTTGTGCATGAGCCCTCTCTGAAGCAAAAGCCGGGCTGTCACCAGTAAAGTAAGGCTTGATTGCCTCGATATATACATCACAAAACTGGTATTGCCACCAAGCATACACCGTGTTGGCTGCATCTGAGAACTCGTAAGCATTCAAGGATTCCACCGTCTTTGATATCGCCTTGTTCAGGACAGAAAGAATCCACTTGCAACTGAATGGCATAGCTTCGGGGTTTAGATTCAACGGAGGGGTGTAACCCTCGCCAAGCTTCATCATTGCAAATCTGACGGCATTCCACAGTTTGTTACACCATTGACGGTAACCAACCACTCGTAGGATATCCAAATTTATTTTATCAGACTAGAAGGGAAAAAAAACGAAATAGAAGCAATTAGTTTAAGGTGCAAATATCACGGTAGAAAACGCAGTACATAGGCATGGATGGATGGATGGATGGATGTACAGTACCTGAGCTGTGTAAGAGACAAGTGCAAATCGGAGAGCATCGGCACCACATTCAGGGATACCGTTCGGAAAATCCTTCATTTGCCCTTCTTTGGCAACAACCAGCTCCTTTGGATCCAAGTTACCCCCTTCTAGTCTCTTATGAAGGCCCTCTAGCGTTATCCCGTTTATTACTTCAAGAGGATCGATGACATTTCCAAGAGATTTTGACATCTTACGCCCATGTGCATCACGTATCATAGGATGCAAATAAACCTGCACTAGAGGAAAAACATTTAATGGCATTGAAGTATTAGCAACAAAGCAAAGAACTCTAGGGAGGTTTTTTTCCTTTTTTAACTAAAAGAAATTCAACACACCTTGCTGAACGGAACATCACCTCCTAATTTCATCCCTAGCATAACCATACGAGCAACCCAGAAAAAGAGAATGTCATGTCCAGTTTCAAGAACAGATGTTGGATAGAACGCCTTGAAGTCATCAGTTTCATCGGGCCATCCCAAAACAGATAACGGGAAGAGTCCAGAGGAAAACCATGTATCGAGCACATCAGGATCTTGAGACAGCTTAAACTTCTTCCCAGTAAATTTAAGAGCAGCCTCCTTTCTGGCATCTTCTTCGTTTCTAGCAACAACCCAATGGTCATTGTATGCACCGAGTTCCTTCAGCTGATCATCCTCTAGGGTGGCATACCAAGCTGGAATTCTGTGGCCCCACCAAAGCTGTCTCGAAACGCACCAGTCACGTATGTTTTCAAGCCATCTGTAAGACCCCATTATAAAACTCTTGTTAAACAGCTAGATAAGTATACACCTAGAATGTGGCATGGAATAGACAAAAGAAAGAACCTTTTCCATTCCGCTGTGTATTGCTTTGGAATAAACTCAAGCCTCTTGTTTTCATCATTTATAGCAGCATCGAGAGCCTCCTTTCCCATCATGCCGCAATTGACATACCATTGAGGCTTTATCATGGGCTCAATGACATCATTGGTTCTCGAGCAAAGTCCAAGCCTCATTTCGTTGTTTTTAGCACCTCTGTACAGCCCCTGCATACAGAATATTTCACAAAATTCCATTCAATAAGACAATAAAATACAGATGATGACCCTATTTTATGACAAAATCTTCGGAAGATTACATAACACCTTCTTTTGTAGAGCTTCGACAACAGCCTCGCGAGCTCCGAAGCGTGGCACCCCTGTGAACTCGGGCCCACCATTGCTATTGATCTTTCCGTCATCAGTGAATATGTTTATAAATTCCAGATTATGGCGCTTTCCAACCTCAAAGTCATTGGGGTCATGAGCAGGCGTAATCTACAAGAAAGGAACCAAATAAGGCCAACACGGCACACTAACTAAAAAGGGTAGGAATGTAGCATTCGTAAACATAGAATAGAATTAGCTCATACCTTAACACAACCAGTACCAAATTCTGGATCAACAAGTATTGCATCACAAATAATTGGTAGCTTTCTTCCATTAAATGGGTGAATAGCAAACTTTCCATGAAGATGCTTGTACCTTGCATCATTTGGATGAATAGCAATGGCAGTATCACCAAGCATTGTTTCAACCCTGGTAGTAGCTACAACAACCTCACCCAAGCCACCTTCCAAAGGGTAAGCAAAAGATGTAAGAACACCAAATTCCACCGGCTTATCATAGCCAGGGACTTTAAGCAGAGTTCTTTCCTTGATGTCGATGTAATCAACCTACACAAGCCAAGCAGACTCCACATTAAAAAGATGTGATCCAATAATCATAGATATACCACGAACTGAGTTACCTCAATATCAGATATGGCTGTTCTCAGAACACAATCCCAATTAACAAGTCGAAGATCCCTGCAAAATCCATGAGATAGTTTAAAGTTAGATGTGCCTTTCTGTGGGAATAAAGTGTCTTAATTCTATATGCAACTAAGCAGAAAAGGTTGGAGGATTTTCCATTCCCAATTTTGTTTCATCCTTTTTTCTTGGACAAGTCTACAACCATGGTATAGTAAGTTGATAGCTAATATTTAAACAAGTCCCAACCTACCACTCACCTATATATAAGCCCTTCCTTGTATAATCTTACAAAGGCCTCTGTGACAGCCTTCGATCTTTGCTCGTCCATTGTAAAACACTTCACATTCAAAGATAGAAACTAGATCTGTAAGAAGGATAACATAGAGAAAAAAACTAAAGGAAACGACAGCCTACAAATAAAGATGTATAGTGGCACAATTAAAGGTTGCTTTAAGTTTTATCCAGTAAAGGAAGGATAGCTGAATGTTTACCTCACGGGACCAATCAAGAGAAGCTCCCAAACGACGTTGCTGTCCTAGAATTGTACCACCATACTCATTCTTCCACTTCCACACCTTTTTAATACCAATAAACAAAAATGAGAGACTTTTATTCAAAAAATACAAAACAAAAATGGAAATATAACTGTGATTCTTTGATTTTCGACTCACTTCTTTTACAAATTCTTCACGGCCAAGGTCATGCCTAGTCATACCCCTTTCACGCATAAGCTTTTTCTCAACCACGACCTACAACAAAACCTCAGAGATTCTTGTAACCAGGTTGCCATTAAAATAACAGAAATCCAAATAACTAGGAAGAAAAATCTGAAGGACGGCGTGAAAAAAGAAATTCTCCACGAGCATGCAGCAAAAAGAAGAATTCAATCAGATATGTGCGGTTAATGAAGATAAATAAATTGTTTAAAATAACACTAAAGTAGAATATGCAATAGGTTCAAGTCAAGTATACGCTAAAAGCAAATTGACAAACCAAAAGTGTTTAAACAATTGAACGGACCTGCGTAGCTATACCAGCATGATCAACCCCAGGCACCCACAAAGCATTATAACCAGA